AAACACTGACTGGAAGGTTATTCTAAAGCTGGGGGGCTTTGTATGAAAAGGCTCTACCCCCTGACGTAACTTTATTAATCCTAGGTATTAATAGTAAGCCAGCAACTTGTGATCTAAGTAGGTGTAAGGGTTCATTATAAGAAATAAGTTCATTCAGATACTGAGGGACAAGACCGTTTAGAGCTTTATATGTTGGTAAAAGAATTTTGTACCCAATTTGGAATTTTACTGGCAACCAGTGTAGGTTTGATAGATTAGGATTATCGCTGACACCAAGGTTTTTTACACATGTACCTGATGCAATTGAGAAGCTATTTGGACTTGAAGAGATCGGGGGGAGTATATTTTTTCCGGCAGCTGTTAAAATAACAATGCCAAAATTGTGCTCCCCTAGTAAAATCCCACTGGTTGAATCTAGAGTAAAATGCATTTTGGGCACAATCTACAGGCCAAATCAAGCCATCAAAAATAAATTTGACATTGTACTTCTGAGATCATGTTTGGAGTATAATTTCGATAGGTGTTAAAAAAGCAGTGCCAAAATTCTACTCCCCCTGATAAAATCCTCCCTGCTAAACTTGGAGATATTGCCTTATATGATACATGGCCTGAAATAAAAGTTCTGTGCAGGTTAATTTTTTGTTCATCAAGGTGCAAACAATGTAAATGTACCCTCGAAGGTACAACAGTGGTTTTAAGGTCCAATTGTATACCATAAATAAGTTTTTCCCAAGTGAAACGTATGTATTTGTATCTTTTCACAACCTAATGTTTTAAAACAGAACAATAAAATAAAAAGCCTGGAGGCGAGACAGGGTGTGTGGAGTCAATACAACTTAGAAAATAAAATTTAATTGGAATATGGTACAATTAGGGTATAATTTCAGCAAGTTTTAAGCGCTCCTGCTGACTGTAAAGTCTGCTGATGTTTTAACCAAAATTAATGTTTAATGTTTTAAAAGCTAGAAGTTTAATATTTAAGGTGGAACGGAAAATTTAAATCAGAAGTTGGCGAAACAAAAGTCAACTTCAGATTCGTACATTCACCATCATTTAGCTGTCTTTTCTGTAAACTTTCTTCAGCTTGGTCATTTTGGCTTTTGTTATCATCTAAATTCAATTCAATATTTTCATATTTTTTGTATTTCAGTTGGAAGAGTAAAAAAAATTATGAACAGCCATTCACTACTAACATTCTGTTATTAAAAGGCTATGACTGTCATTATTGTTGTTTAGTGTTGAAATTGTATGCCATAAATTAGCTGAAGAATGCATACTGACTGGTTTAGGACTTGAAGATTAGGACTTGGGATTTAACTTGAAATTTGCCTATATCTTGACTTGGGACCCGATTTGAGACTTGCCTGTACTGACTCGGGACTTGACTCAAGACTTGACCGTTATGATTTGGGACTCGAGTGTCAAGACTTGAGACTTACATATTACTCACAACAGGTTAACAGATCATTTCCCTGATTAAATGCAGAAATCCAAAAGCATCTTGAATTGTTTGTGTCAGAGAGATTTGACAGGTTAAGGGCGTATCTTGCTTTCAAAGGATGAAGGTTTTTCAAGACTAGTGTTTCCAACCTTATCTCTCTAACTGATAAAAGAACATGTTAATCCATTGATTCTCTTTTTCACATCCACAGAGATGGTTAAAATGGAATATGAAGTTACAGGAGCTGAAACTGGGTGCTCATTGTTGGTGAGCTCAAAATGCATTCAGCTTCTTTGGCAGGAAAGTTTGACGTGACTGCGCTTGTCTGTGGTTTGTAGTCTAAGTGTGTGGATGCCCTTCTACATCCGTTGAGCATCGGTGGTATTACTGTAACGTGATTTGAGTTTTTTTTTTATGTTCTCATCTTTAATGTTTGATAGTTCTCCTTCCATCCTCCTTGCATTTCTTTAAATCTTAAAATTCAACTTTAATTATAGGATATATATTTTAGCATGTAAAATTTCATTTCTTATTCATAAGAATTCAAACCTTTTTCCAAGTCATTATAATTGCAGCTAGAGTCTACCTCATTTTAAGTACAGTGACAATAGCAAATGTGAAAGGAATCTGTTAATAATGTCTTCTTTGCAACACCTAAATTTGTGTTTCTTACAGTAAAAGTTCATGGCGATCTGACGCAATTCTTTTGTACTACTGCAACAGCAGTTAAACAGTTTGCCATCATGCCCAGTCCAAAGAGATCAAAACATGTCTTTTAAAGACATTGGTTAATTAGCTGAGTGGGTGAACATGCATGGTTCATTACTTGCATCTGTGACCAAACATGTTTAAAAACATTGTAGAAAATATAATTTAATCACAAAACGGAAAATTACTGCCAGAGTGGTTCTGACGTTATTTTTTGTGGGACTGTGTTGTCATTAACCACTACCGTCACCTGCACATGTATATAACATATTAGCACAGCCACGCCTCACATTACACAAGTATTGTGAGGCAATCCTCATTTTTGAATAAGCATACATGTTTCTGCCATGCTGTTTACATCATGGTCTTTGAAATATGGTGGTGCAGGTCTTTATCTTACTTTGTGTATCTTTTGTAAACCTTGGTTTATTGTTTGGAACTGAACAGAATGTTTTTAATGGCACACAGTTGTCCACACACTTATTAATGGAGTCCATAACTACTGTTGCGTATTAAATGAGGGGTCTTTGAACATTGCCCAGCCTACATAGTCAAAACAGTCCTGAAGTGTGTCCTTGGCATCTCTAGTACAGCACCAAACCACTTTCATTACCAACTCCATGCATTTCAGTCTTTGTCTGTAAACAGTCTAATTTTTTTACATTTTTATTACATTAGTGAGACAAAATACAAGGTAGAGGAGGTTGGAGACCACTGTGTTCCATCCTCATCTGCTCGCCTTCTCTCTTCCCTGTTTTCTTGCTCACTTCTTCATGGTTGTTTCCAGATCTTTTGTCCCAGCCATGGTTGAAAAATACGTACCAACTCCAGGTCCACCATGAGAGAAGCTGAATCTTGTATTTGCTTTCTATTCTGATTTTGGGAAAATTCCTAAAACAAGAATAGAAAGACTCCGGTAAGGCTACAAAAAGTGCCAGTGATGTCTGCCAGTGGGATTGTCACTAGGTACTGACTTAGAAGCATGTCCAAACTATGCCACAATTACTATTTTTACTATTACTTTACTGTTACTTTTAATGTTGTTTTTAATAGTTTTCTGTAAGCCCCCACTTGTGGAGATCTGTGCTGTTATTGAGCCAAGTGGCACAAACTGTTTGAGGGTTTTGTCGGATTTTATCATTGATTTCAAATTTGAAACAGTAATTTGGCCTTCATTTTTGAGTATTTTCAGTCTCTCCTCTTTCTAAGAGATAGGAGTCTGGTTTTGTATGGATGTGTACCAGCAGCTGCAGAGAGGAGAGGCAGTGTTAGATAAGCTAAACCCATAGCTTTAGCTTACGTAACACTGGGTGGCTTGAGAAGCCAGTTCCCCAGCCCCAACAATCTAAGTGCAGTGAAAGGCCGAGCTTCTCATTCTGCTCATGCAATACAGCGTTAGCTAAGCTTATGCTATTGCACATCATGTGGGTGTGTGTCCTTGCTTGAAATATTATGCTGTGGATTGCCGTGAGCTGACAAAGTTTAATGTAAGCTGAGGGAGCTCTAGTGGCTCATCAGCTCTTTTTTAGCTGATGGAGCATGAAAGAAAAAAAGAACACAGTGTAGCCAACTTCAAGTACAGAGAGTTTAATCACTAGATGTGGGCATTTGTTATTCTAATGTTCAAAGTATTTGAATATCAATAAGAAAACAATTTCTTTTTAACTTTTTAAAAATGCATACATAGAGTTATTTAAACTGAGTGACACAGAAGTTATCAGGGACAGAAGCCCTGCATTCCCTATTGAAAAGGACACTTAAGTAGCCTTTTTCCCCCACCCAACGGCCAGCTAACAGTGCATTACTTTCACTTTCTCGCTCTGGATTTAGCTCATGAGGTGGTGAGATGCCTTTTAAATGATGTAAGGTTGGCTGTTTAAGATTGATTTAGATTTGTTTGGGGTTTAGAAAGTGACGCAGATGTAAAGTCATAAGAACTTAAGATTACTTTTCCCTGAAGTAATAAGTAAAGTGATTCAGTTACAGTTTGACCGAAGTAGTAAGTTGTAATGGAATGGACCACCACGGTTGGTAATGGTTCAGTTTGTCATTTTGGAGCATAACCATAGTTTTGTGTTCTTGGAGCATCATGTGTGTAGCTAAAAACTTTGAGGCTAATTTTGGACAATATGTTTAAAAACTGGTTAACTTCTCCGAGGGGTATGATTGTATGTTGCTGCCCCAAGCACTCAAATCGGCTTGATTGTAAAATTGCCCATACTGCTACAGGCTTTATAGTCTGACTACTGAACCTACAAGTGTAGTGTTTGAGAGGTGGCATGTACTGACAACTGTGCCCCCTCACACCCCTGGCATTATTTACAAACAGTTGCAGAGGAGAGAGTGTACGACTTGGCAGTCTGGCAAAACTAGGCTTGCCTAGTTTTGTTACATAACCATTTTCCTACTGCACTTTATCCCTTATGATTAAGCAGACTTAATGTGCCTTTAAGATTGATATATGCAAAATGAGCTCTGTTCTGGAAGCAGTCCAGGCTGAGCCCTTACATCTTCAGCATGAATGGTCAGAGCTAAATTGCTGTAGGCTGAATACCCTGATATGTAAATGTGTTGATTTTGTGACTTTATGAAAACAGTGAATTCAATATGTGCTGTTTTTGGAGCTTAGTTTCCGTATATGGACTGTATGGACTGTGAAGTGAAGAGTACATTCAGGTTTCCATGATATGGGCCCCTTACATAAAAACGTATGAACATGAACAAATATCTTAATGCCAAGGGAATGTAAAATTATGAACAGAACTGTAACACTACCTTTACAATAGTCATAAATGTTTTGCATGGTTTTATATATTTAAAACTTTCTCCACTTTCTTTGATTTTTTTGCAGGAGCTAGTCTTGGCATTACCAGCGATGGATTTTTTGAACTTGACTCGTGCCCCAGGTAAGTTGTACTGACTTGATGATTGTAGTAAATATTAACTGAGCATTACATAAGTTGTAACTCACTCTTTCACTTCATTGCATGACATACTGTTTTAGGAACTTTATGTGACAACTATCAATATATTATATATTGTGTACTGTACCAGCTTTATTTTATTGGAAAAGTGCCTGTTAAATCATTTTTGTAAATATTCTGGACCAATTAATTCTGAATTAATTCCAGCAGTGGAAACTTGCCTAATGTCTTTACTCCCATAGACGCAGTGTTATTGTGGGGGCAGGATATATTGCTGTTGAAATGGCTGGAATCCTGTCCTCTCTAGGGTCCAAAACATCGCTTATCATTCGTCAGGGTGGGGTAAGAAGTCACTTCCTTTGCTATGTAGCAAAGAAATTGCAAACATTTATTTGCTAAAGTTTTCTGTTTTTCCCTAAGGTACTGAGGAACTTTGATGCCTTGATAAGCTCAAACTGCACCAAAGAACTGCAAAACAGTGGTATTGATTTGTGGAAGAACACTCAGGTAAGTTATTGTAATTTGTTTTTAAATGTTTAACTTAAACTTTGTGTCATTTGAGTGCTTTTGTAAGGGAAGCGTGAGTATATGAGTTCAGAAGAAGTTCAAAATATGATGTGTACTTGCAAGCTCTTACCCACTTGGCCTTGTCATTTCCTTTTCTGGGTATCCCTAGTGCCAACTTAAAGGCCGTTCTATTGCTTTATTAGCTCAAGGCAAAGATGTTCGATGAGCCGTGGGAGTGTAAGGGATTGAGCAAACACAAGTTTTGACTTTGGCAGCAGAATTGCCCCCAAATAACGGTGTACAAAGCTGTTTATAAGCCATACCACTTAACTACTTTCAAATGCTTTACATTTCAAAATTATAATGTTCAATTTGATGGACTTACTCCAGCTCTTAAACATGAGTACTGATGTGACTTAATCACTTTATTTATATTTATTATATATACTTTATATGATAAAGGCCACACAGCTGACAACAAAAAGAAAGGCACAAACATCATGGTTCTACACCAATTTTATAGCCAGGCAAAGCAATTTCTCACAAATGTTATGTAGATTATGTTCTAACTTTTCAGAACAAAGTTTTTACATTGAAAAATGCATGGCTAGCCCAGTGCCGGTCCTGACCTCCTTGGGGCCCTAAGCAAATTTCAAAGGGGCCCGTCGGCTATGTAAATCATTTTCAGTTGTCACCTGACACCCCAGTGCTCCCACTACAGTCCTCCCTCCTTTAAAACAGATTTGCTCCAACTGAGAGTCTAAGTAGACCTATACTGAATAGAATGAGGTATAAACAGACAATATTTATTAATAAATCAATATTTACTTCTGTACTGAAGTAAAGCATAGCACCTGAAATATTATAGATAATACGATTATTAATTTTATGAGCTGCAGCAGGCCCTGTTAAACATTTTAAAATATAAAATACTATTTAAACTATGGCTTGGCTTAGTACTTGCTGGTTATTATTCACTGAGAGATGATAATAATAATAATAACAACAACAACAACAACAACAACAATAATAATAATAATAATAATAATAGCAATAATAATAATAATAATAATTTATTATTATTATTATTATTATTATTATTATTATTATTATAAATTACATTTATATAGCGCATTTCTTTTCTGTCATAAAATGATGTGCACCTATGAGGAGTGTGCCATCATATCCCTATATTGCCATGACGGGTCTCCACAGAGGTTATTGCTGCAAAGCATGAGTTTAAATTCTTGCAGAAGCATATGAACACATGTTTATTCGTGACGTGGTTATGTTTTCTGAGCTGCAGATTGTAAACACTGTTGCCCGGTGTTCATCAAACATAGCACATCATCTTATTTGTTAAACGTTAACCTTTTTTTTTTTCTTTTTCTTGTTACCAGATGAATATTTCCGCTTCATCCTCTCATCAAAGTAGAAAACAATAAGCAGCTTTGACACAAGGGAGAAAACAGGACCCTTGCGTAATTTGCAGGGCCCTACGCACTGTGTGTAGTGAGCATATAGAGAGTGTAAAATGAGCTTGAGCTTAAAGTTCAGCAGTGCTTTTCATGCAAAGCTTCCAAGTTGTGTTGTGTACTGACCACAGCAGAGCGGTGTGGTGCTTCTTGTATGGTGTACGGTAGCCTTTAACCCTCCTTTAATCACTTCTTAGCAGCCATTGCTGTCTATCATTAATTTGGGCAAGCTTTGTTATTTAGCATTTGCTGTGACTATAGTTTGAATCTGAAGAGGGAGACTTTGAAAGGATACCTGATACCTAGATTTTGTCTTTGACCCAATGCAAAAAGTCGAAAACAAATAAAAAAAATACATTTTGATTTGTCTGCGAGTCTCACCATCAGCTGAACACCTTTAAGTCCCTCTGCACTCGAAAATGAGTTTTTAAATGGTTGACTCCACTTGGATGGCTTATGATGGGTATATAGACTGATATTTGTATCAAATGTGTTAACACCCATTTTTCCATTGAGTCTTTCTCAGTACATATGAAAAAAAAAATCTGTGGGGTGCTACATAGCAACTTAGTTTTGTATGTCACAGATAAGCATGAACCTAACACGATGCAATGTATCAAAATACAGTGTTGTGAGAAAGTATTTGCCCCTCACCTGATTTCTTCTATTTTTGCTGATTTGTCACATTTAAATGTTTCAGATCATGCAAATAATTTCAAAATAAGATAAAATCAACACAAGTAAAGAAAATCTGCTTTTAAATGATAATTACTTTTATTGAAGATAAAGATTTATTGAAAACCTATGTAACCATGTGAAAAAGTTATTGCCCCGCTAAACCTAGTCACTGGTTGGGCCACTCTTGGCAGTAACAACTGCAGTTAAACGTTTGCGATAACTTGCAATGAGTATTTTACATTGTTGTGGGGGAATTTTGGCCTGCACTTCTTTGTGGATTTTTTTTTTTTAATGTGGCTACGTTGGAGGGCTTTCAAGCATGAACTGCCCATTTAAGGTCTTGCCACAGCATCTCAATGGGATCACAGTCAGGACTTTGACTCTGACACTCCAAAACTTTAAGTTTGTTTCTTTTGAGCTTTTCAGAGGTGGACTTGCTTGTGTGCTTTAGATCAATGTCCTGCTGCAGTAGTGCTTGAGCTTTAGGTCACAAACTGACAGGCAGACATTATCCTTCAGGATTTTCTGATAGAGAGCCAAAAAGTTCCATCAATTATGACAAGTCGTCCAGGTCCTGCAGAAGCAAAGCAGTCCACCAGGGCCAGAACTAGGATCAAAATTTTAGTGAGGTGCATTTTGCAGAAAAGTCACTTTTTTTCCACAAATCATTGCTCCTTTTTTACCCATCCATAACTGTTATGCACCCTTTCCTTTCATTTGTTCTTTCCCTGTCATGTTTAAGTTTATTTAATGAATCATTTAACTGTTTGTTTGTATGTTTATTTTCAGCTGAAAATGTGCTGAAACCTACACTTATCATTTAATTTCTCTCTCTCTCTCTCTCTCTCTCTCTCTCTCTCTCTCTCTCTCTCTCTCTCTCTCTCTCTCTCTCTCTCTCTCTCTAACTCTAACCCTTTCTCTCTCTATCTTTGCTTTTTTCTTTTGCATCTCCATCCTCACTGATTACTGAAAAAGCACCCTTTAAACATACTTTATAAAAGGCTTTCTGTAGCAAACCCCAAACAATGGGAGCTAATGAGACAAAATACAGTCTAATGTACCTGCTGATTTCTTAATAATATTAGCTACATGATGATATTAGATACAATATGCTGGTTAACAGTGAACTTTCTCATGCTGATTGTAGTATGTTATGAGTAGGTAACACAATGCAACTTTAATTTCTCATCTAATCACTAATATAGCTCACAATGGAGCCTGTAGCCTAAACTGAGCAGCTGTTGGAGCTAGACTAAAGCATGATGATTTAGTTAGCAACATTATGAGCGGTCCAAACAAAAAATTAAAGCTAGCTGCATTTTTAACGTAACGATGTTATATGTTAGCCTATATGATGTGTGCTCCATACCTGAACATCTCAAGAAGTCAAAGTTAATGTTAGTCTGGTTCTCTGGGCTGTGTAGCGTCTCATATAAAGATGAACAGTGCGAGCAGTCAAGTCTATGGCTTATAACCACAGCTGTTTTGAGGTCAGCTAAGAACCAGTCACTGCTCATTTGGTAGTTACGTTGCTTTTTTCCACACTGAATCTTCTAAAACTATTTACAAACATGACAGGACAGGCGCTGATTACTGAAGCAGTTGTGGATAGTGACATTTGCAAAGTAGTTATTGGAGGGTTGAGGAAAATAAAGCAGATCTTGGCAGATTTTGAATGGCCATAATAGAGTGAAAGTGAAAAAAAAATCCTTCTTAAACTACTGAGGTCCGGACCTCTGTGTCCTCATAGCTAGTTACGAACATGACTACCACCACCATGTATTTTTTTTTGACAGCAGTTGTTTGAGCCTTGCAACTCTCAAAGATGCCGTTTTTGCTCTGTGTCTTTCTTAATGTGGAATCGTGTACGTTGACCTTAACTGAGGCAAATGAGGCCTGTAGTTCTTTAGATGTTCGTGGATGATTTGTTGATGCGCTTTTAGTGAAATTTTGGTAGGTCTGTCACTCCTGGGTAGGTTCACAACTGTTACAAGTTTTCTCCATTTGTGGATAATGGCTCTCACTGTGGTTTGCTAGAGTTGTTGTTTAACCCCCAATTGTCTTAGCCTGGGCTGCTGGGGTCAAACATGAGACATGGTCTGTCAGTGTGAGGCAAGGCCCCTGAGGCCTCACCACAAACTCGATTGCAGGCCTCATGCCACATCCTGGCACTATTCCTGTTGCAGGTAGCATGTTACTGCAATAGCTTTCACTACAGCACAGGTTCATTCCTGCTTATTGAAGCCTCAGGGAATAAAGACTTAAATCTGAGCAGTAAATCTGTATTTTACTGTGTGAAGCTGTTAGCTTCACACAGCTACTATTAATAGCTACTATTAATGTATATCCTTTCAGTACCAGAAGCTAATGTTAGCTTAGTGAGTAGGCTGTAACACAGACTACATGCAGGGTAGTAGTAGTAAACATAGTTTACTTTTTGTGTTTTAATTTATGACTTTAGAGGTATTTTAACCAAAGACACTGGCTCTACTGTAATCTTGTACGGAGGAGATGATGACAAAGTTGGTTTGTTAATAGATTACTGAATTAAACATTTGATTGATTAAAATTGATAGTTAGAAAGATCTGTATCAGTAAACTGACTCGACTTTCCCCCATTAAATGTAACTAGTTTGAAGATTACTGGGGTACCATTCCAGTTCTGTACTTCTCACCTGATGCATAGTTGTTGAAGTTAGTTTGATAAATGCTTGATGAGAGTTGTAAAGTTATGTTTGGTGTGGAAGTTCTCTGCTACACTTTAAAAAAAAGGTGGTCCTTTAAGGGTTCTTTAGTAAAGAAGGTGGTTCTTTACAGCCCTTTGCATGATTAAATGTTTTTTTGCATAATGAGTCAAGTCAAGTCAAAGTTTAATTATAAATTTATATAGCGGTTTTTTCCAACAGATATTGTCACAAAGCAGCTTTACAGAAATATCCGGGTCCAAGCCCCCACCTTGAGCAAGCCAAAGGTGACAGTGGTAAGGAGAAACTCTTTAAGAGCAAGAGGAAGAAACCTTGGGAGGAACCAAGCCTCAAAAGGGGAACCCATCCTCCTCTGGTCGACACCAGATAGCAAACAGTGTTAGTATGAACTGTTAAAATACAGAGACGGGGAAACAGATGAAGCAGTGGTTATAATTAGACAGTTTCAGTCTGTGCAGCATCTTCATGATTTCTGCCATTACAGACAAACATTATAATCTGAGCTTGCATTTTGTGCCTCTCACGATCCAAGTAATCTCAATTACAAATTTTGACTTATCAGTCCAAACTTCCTCCCTATCTCAGATGTCTAATTTCAGTGTTCTAGTGCAAGTTTTTTTTTTTCCTTCTTGTCTATTTACTTTTCTCAGTAACAGCTTTTTGACAGCTACACATTCATTCAGACCCTTTCAGTATTGAGTTGTCTTCTCACAATGAAAGGATGGATCTCTCGGAGATGACTTTAATTCAGGGGTCTCACACTCAAATTAACTGGGGGCCACTAGCCAAGTGGTCTTCTTAAAGGGGTGCTGGTTGAAAAAAAAATCCAGTATTCTGCATTTATATTATAAAAATGTACATTATTATTATTGTTGTTGTTGCTGTTGTTTTTGTTATAAATACATGGGGTATCTAATAAACATTTTACTGTTCAGTTGAATCAAGTGAACTTGCATTTAACAGTAGAATTATATGGGACTCTTATGATGGCACTTGTGTTTTTGCTGAACGCAAATGAAGTGCTGGCAATGGAGAGCGGTCAATTCTACATTCTGAGGGAATTTGTTTTATGATTCCATTCAGTTCTCTTCAGTATCTCCTGGTGTGACATGAATGAATCAGAGATATGACAGATTTAACTATCAGTCTAAAGTTAGTTATAACTAAATTACAGTCATGCAGCTTAGTGTGCCACGTTCATGCTGCATCAGACAGTTGGCTGTTTACCTAACATAAGTTATGTAAAAAATATCTAATTATCACTGACAATTACAATGGGGAAAAAAGTAAAAATAGAGTGCTGCATTTAAGAGAAACCATTTAATCTGATGCAGCATGAATGTGGCTAGATTTAAGGATAAATTGTAAATATGCAACAGGATGTATGAAGCTGTCTTGTGGGTCGGTACTTTGAGACCCCTGCTTTAAGCACTGCTTATCTGATGGTGAGCATTTTAGTGGTCTACTAGGTTGTTAGGGGTCCTTATTCACACTACTCATTACTGTAAGCTTTGTCTCTGTAGGTAAAGTCAGTGCAGAAAACTGAAAAGGGTCTGAGTGTCACACTGGTGACAAAGGACCCAGAAGACAGGAATGCAGAGGGGAAGACTAACAGCATTCAAGATGTGGACTGTTTGTTGTGGGCCATTGGGAGGGAGCCCAACACAGCTGGCCTCAACCTCAGTCAGATGGTAACAAAGAAGCCTAATTACAATAAATATAGCTTCATATGTTCATATGTTTTTGAAAAACTTTTTTAGTCAAAAAGCTGTTTTGCATATTACTTGTTAGACTAAATAAATATATATGGAAAACTTAAGTTGGATGAATTTGAGTTTCTTTCTTTACTGTGCCAATTTATTTGGGGCAGTTTATTTAATTTTAGAAGTAAACGATACATGACCTGTACCTTTCATTCATGCATGCCTTCACTGGTCCATTCAATATAACTCATAGGTCCAGGATCTGAGATGTGTTTCTGAAATGTTGCTTAATGGCATGTTGTTTTGCAGGGTGTGGAGCTTGATTCAAAGGGACACATTGTGGTCGATGAGTTCCAGAACACCACACGCCAGGGCATCTATGCAGTTGGAGATGTTTGCGGGAAGGCGCTCCTCACACCTGGTAGTGTTTCAGTTGCTTAGGATTCTATAAATGGTGCTTTTATATTTATATTTCTCAACTGATTATAGGTTTGTTTAAATGGTTATGGAGTCCAAAACTTCACACTCGTCCATTGTGCTATTAAATGCCATTTGTAAGAGCACATTAGACTTCTTTGATAGTTTTAGCAGGTTCTATACTTTCACACAGCAGTGCTGCTGGAGTTTTTAAACACCTCAGTGTCACTGCTGGACTGAGAATAGTCCACCAACCAAAAATTTCCAGCCAACAGCATCCTGTGGGCAGCATTCTGTGACCACTGATGAAGGACTAGAGGATGACCAACACAAACTGTGCAGCAGCAGATGAGCTATCGTCTCTGACTTTACATCTACAAGGTGGACTGACAAGGTAGGAGTGTCTAATAGAGTGGACAATGAGTGGACACAGTGTTTAAAAACTCCAGCAGCACTGCTGTGTCTGATCCACTCATACCAGCACAACACACACTAACACACCACCACCACATCAGTGTTACTGCAGCGCTGAAAATGATCCACCATAGTACCTGCTCTGTGAGGGTCCATGGGGGTCCTGACCACTGAAGAACGGGGTAAAAGGGGGCTAACAAAGTATGCAGAGAAACAGATGGACTACAGTCTGTAATTGTGGAACTACAAAGTGCACCTGTATAGTAAGTGGAGCTGATAAAATGGACAATGAGCTTAGAAACAAGGAGGTGGTCGTAATGTTATGCCTGATCAGTGTATAATACAATGCAACTTCACTATATAACATCCAGAATAACCAGATTAATTTTCTTCTTCACTACACTTTCAGAGCAAATTAACTGCAAATCATCCAGGATGAGCTAAAAAGAAGGAATCTAACCTAGGTGGTGGTTTGCCATAAATAGAAAAAAAAGGTTTTCCAAGAATTTCTGCTGTTATTTAGTTCAAGATTGGGCTAATTTTGTTTAACCCCTCATACACACTGGCTGTGATACGAGAAAGAGACAGGAGTCATTCATTTTCATCGAAAGCTTTAGAGTGACGGGGTAATGATGAGCATTGTCATGCACATGAGCACTGATTTTTCACTGGGAAATATGTTTTGTCTTTTTTGGTGCCCATCACAAAACTGGAGCTGATAATAGAGGCTTAGGAGCACAGGATTCCTGGAATCATTTGCAAATCCTTTTTGGCAACACTTTATTTGGATGGTCTGTTTTTGACAACAAATCCACTAACTATCAATCAAACAACACAGCTGTTCCACAAGCATCAGCTTCTAGTGCCTAGAGTATCATTAAATTATATATTAAATATTTTGATTACTAAACTATATCTGAACTTATATATAGTGTGTATGTTCACTATATGATAGTCATAACATACCATAAAATAACTTGCTTTCAAATGCTCTCTTTATATCTCTTTCCATCTCTCTATCTCTCTCTCTACTCATAACATATACAATTAATAACAATAATAATAATGATGATGATAATAATAATAATAATAATAATGATAAATAGTAATTATCCTCCCACCAACCTGTTTTTCCTCTTTCTCTGTCTCTCTACTTAAAACGTATACTGTAAACAATCCTTAAACCAACCTTTCTCTCTACAATTAGAACATATAGATAATCCTCACAACAACCTGTCTCTACTTAAAAAATACTATAGACCATTAATCTGTTTTCCTCTCTTTACTTTCAACCTGTCTGTCTTTCTACTTAAAATGTATACTATAGTTCAGGGGTTCTAAACCTTTTTCCAGCATGCACCTCTTTTTTTAGGGTTGAAAATATTTCATGAGACTATAGCCTATTGGTCACAGTACAGTGATCATTCTACATATTCCAATATGCAGTTGTAAAAATATAAAAGACTACACATACTTTAACAAGAACACAGGTTAACATAAACCCGACAACCAGTACAGCACTTCCTTAGAAAGCATTTATTTGCTCGTCAAGCGCAACATTTACTGTAAGTGTTTCAAAGAAAATAGACATCCTCTGCTCTGTTGAGGTATCAGGACTTGCTTTTACAGGTCCTTCAGGCACATCTTTCATTCATCTGGTGCTTCAAATTCAAAGTACATTTACAAGCTTCCAGGCACTAGCAAAAATGACTATAGATAATCTCACCAACCTCTCTCTTTCTACTCAAAAGTATACTATCAATAATTCTCCCACTAACCTGTCTCTCTCTACTGAAAATGTAAACTATAGATGACAGGCGCACAATCCTGGTCCTGGAGATCTACCACCTGGGAAAGTTCAGATCCAACATACCTGGCTCTAATATTTAGATTCCCCTGAAGGCCTTTATTACTTTGATCAGGTGAGTTATATTAGGTTTGGAGTGAAATTCTGTAGGGTGGTAGATCACCACGACTAGGATTAGATACCCCTGCTATAGATTATCCTCCCACCAATCAATCTTTCTCTCTCTCTCTCTCTCTCTCTCTCTCTCTCTCTCTCTCTCTCTCTCTCTCTCTCTTTCTCTCTCTCTCTTTCTACAATTTATACTCCAACCAACCTGTCTCTAGCTCATTACTCAAAATGCCTACTATAGATAATGCTCCCACCAACCCCTCTCTCTCTAGTAAATGGAAACTACTAAACTACACTGATCAGGCATAACATTATGACCACCTCCTTGTTTCTATGCTCATTGTTCATTTTATCAGCTCCACTTACTATATAGATGCACTTTGTAGTTCTACAATTACAGACTGTAGTCCATCTGTTTCTCTGCATACTTTGTTAGCCCCCTTTTACCCTGTTCTTCAGTGGTCAGGACCCCCATGGACCCTCACAGAGCAGGTACTATTTGGGTGGTGGATCATTTTCAGTACTGCAGTAACACTGATGTGGTGGTGGTGTGTTAGTGTGTGTTGTGCTGGTATGAGTGGATCAGACACAGCAGTGCTGCTGGAGTTTTTAAACACTCTGTTCACTCACTGTCCACTCTATTAGACACTCCTACCTTGTCAGTCCACCTTGTAGATGTAAAGTCAGAGACGATAGCTCATCTGCTGCTGCACAGTTTGTGCTGGTCATCCTTTAGTCCTTCATCAGTGGTCACAGGACGCTGTCCATAGGACGCTGTTGGCTGGAAATTTTTGGTTGGTGGACTATTCTCAGTCCAGCAGTGACACTGAGGTGAAACAAGGAGGTCATAATGTTATGCCTGATCGGTGTATTCCGCTACTGTCGGAAAAAACCTCATGTCTCCAAAATGGTAACTTTACAGGAGAAGGAAAAAACATACTTTTAATGCAAGTCAATGGAACCAGATTTTTTTTTTCCAAGTAATTTTGGGCCATTTCTTTTGGTGCATTCATTATAAAATTTACACAGAAAGAATGTGAAAAGAACAAAAATGGAGATAGAAGATTTTTTTTCCGACAGCAGCGTTATACAGTGTATGCATATGCAAGTTTGGGCACCCAGGGCCAAAGTTCATATTTAATTTATTTTTTTGAGTATAAAAAAATAAATAAATAAACATAACTTCTGCAGGAAACTACAAAAAAGTGTTGCTAATGTTACTGCATAGTTACTTTTTATTTGATTTATAAAAACATAAAAAAAATAAATTGTGGAAAATGAAAATGTTTAGTCAACTTAGTAAGTCATTACTTCTATACTAAGAGTCTTTCTATTCAAGTTTAGTACATAAAAATATGGATGGATGTCTGTAGAAAAGTTGTTGAGATGTAGTTGACACTTTTCTGATCATTTTATATAATATTAAAGCAATAAGCCACGAGAGGCTGTGTGTTTTTAACCTTGTCAGGTGTTATTTGTTACTATAATAACTTTACTAACAAGCCACTAGAGTACATTGTTAATTTTTTATTATGCATGCTAAATTCTTTATTCACAAACAGAAATTGTCAAATTCTCAGCCACATTTTCCCTCTTTTTGAAGAAATTTAAATCACTTCTCCAATCCTTACATCTTGTAGAACCTAAGAAAAGTAATAGATTTTTGAATTACTATGACTAGCTTTATGGAGTGAAACTTGGATTAACGCTTTCTCGCTTTCCTCTTATATGTGTAAGTGTTTGTGTGTGTGTGTGTGTGTATACGTACATATGTAAATCTTCCTTTAGGTATATAATTTTTTTTTATGCAAATCGTTCGATAATACTTTACTCTTTGATGTCATTGTGTGCTTAAATAGTGATGACATTGACATTGGTTGTACGTTTGTAAAATTCTTCATATTAAAAAACAAAAAACAAAAAAGAGAATGTTTGGTCGCATATCGCTGTTTTGCGATCATTTCTTGAATTATTAGCATTGTTGTCTGGGCAGAGAAAGTTCTGATAAAGTAAAGCACAAATGGGGAAATGACATGTAATATAATATAACCCCTGTATTAATGAAACATATGTCTATGTCTGATTAAAATGAATAGCTTACAAAGCTACAACAAAACAGCATTCAAACAGCAAGGTAACTACACAAAGCAACCCAAAGTAATCAGAACATGAGCGAAAACAAGAGTAGCAATGCAAAAGAAAAAAAACAAAAAAACTCAGCATTGCAAAAAAGCTGCTTTGTGACACCGCCTGTTGTAAAAAAATAACTATATAAATATATTTAAATTGAATGGAACTGAAAATTATTTAAATAATACCACATATTCTCACGTTATCTTTTGACTGTGTGTGTGTGTGTGTGTGTTTGTGTTTGTGTTTGTGTGTATGTAAGTAAAAGTTTTCAAATTAAAAACCCTATGTTGTTCTGGCCTTCTGCTTAGGATCACTGTCTTTCTGAAAGGTGAAGTTCCTCCCAAAGTTTTTCGTAGATTGAAGCATGTTATCTTGCAGTATCTCCTTGTATTTTGTACAATCAATTTGTCCTTCAGTTTTAACAGGATGCCCAGTCCCCACTGAGGAAAAGCATACCCACAGTAGGATGCTGCCACACCCATACTTCCATTGTTGTGATGGTGTTTGTTGAGGAATGAGCAGTGTTAGGTTTGTGCCATACATAGCACTTTGAATTTTGACCAGAAAGCTGTTGATACTGTTGACTGGTGCACCTTCACTCCAGTCTCAGTCACTGAACTCTGGAGCCCCTTTAAAGTGATTGTTAGCCTCTCTGTGGCTGCCCTCACAAGTCCCCCTTTGCTCGGTTGGCGAGCTTTGGGAGTCGATCTTGTTTAAGAGGTGTCTGGGTGGTATAATGCTGCCTCCATTTTCTTACAATTGATCAAACAGTGGTCATGGGGATATCCACACACTTGGATATTGTTTTGTAGCTTCTTTCCATCTTGTGTATGTGTATTAGTTTATTTCTGATTGCCTAGGAATGCTCTTTAGTGTTAATTTCTTCAGTTTTCCTTCAGGTTCGCAGTCTAATCAGTGGGACTGGAATTAAGGGGGTCTTTTTTCAGAAAAGGTTCATTTTTAAATGATTCACAGGTAGAGGTCAATTGTAAACCACTCATTAGGTCAATATCTATCATTTGTGTTCACTTGGAACTTCCACAGCACAGAGGTTGAATACTCATGTGAACAGCATTTTTTTTAGATTTTTTTTCATTCATTTTGGTCACAGAATATAGAAATGAAAACCAGTATCACTTTAAATTAACACATTTTGAGGGTCTTTAAAAATAAAGTCTTTTAAAATAAACTATGACACAACACAAAATATCAAAGTGTCATTTGTCTTACAGACAAACCTTCTGACTTTTAAGGGGGTTGAATACTTAGGCACAGGCACTGTGTGTGTGTGTGTTTGCTGCTCTTACCAAATAAAAAAAAAATGGAATTATATAACTGGTTTGGTATCTGTCCATTAATGCTTCCTCATACGGTTGCAAAGGTTATGTTGAAAGTACAGTGTTGATTGGCCTAATTATAAATTATAAGTCTCATTAATTTATCAATCTAATAAATTAATCAGCCCTATATGTAATAATAATAATAAATATCTTAATCTCTATTTTTTTCAAAATATTGGCAGCAAGACAGACACCTTGGTGTAAATAAACTTTGTTAACGTCTTCTCTAAAACACAAATGAAAGCATCAACAATCAGTACATTTTCAGTGGATGTAAGGTAAATGGCTATTTATCCAACGTTGTGGTGTCCAATCTTATCTGCAAAGGACTGGTGTGGCTGCAGGTTTTTATTCCAAATTAGCAGGAGCATACCTGCAAACAACTGATCATGTCTGTTCTTGCTTTGATGGAATAAAACCTGCAGCAACACTGGCATTTGCGAATAAGATTGGACACCACTGATGTAATAAGTGATATGTGTGTGAGGGAGTGTGTTCGTGTATGTGTGCACATACATGTAAATGCATATGTGGTTATATGAGAGATGGGAGGATTGTTGTACATTCACATCTGGTCCATGAATGGGCTTCACTGTATTTTAATGAGGTGGTTGGTTTTTGCTCCAATTAATCTTTATTCCATATGAAGATTGACACAAAGTCTAAAAAAGGCATGTGTGTATAAACTCAAGACTACAAGTACAAGTAATGGTGTCTGTACAAAATCTTTACAAATGTGAAATACTGAAGGCATCAACCACATCAAACATCAGAATGGGGGGAAATGTGATTTTGATCGTGGCATGATTGTTGGTGCCTGCTGCTTTGAGTATTTCTAACTGCTAATCTTCCGGGATTTTCACGCACAACAGTCTCTAGAGTTTATTCAGAAAGGTGCAATAAAGAAGAAACATCCAGTGGGCATCTGTTCTGCAGATGGAAATGCCTTGTTGATGAGAGAGGTCAATGGAGAATGGCCAGTCTTTACAAAAAGGCTACAGCAACTCAGATAACCACTCTGTACAATTGTAGTGAGCAGAAAAGCATGTCAGAATGCACCACACGAACCTTGAGGGAGATTTGCTACAATGGCAGAAGACCACATGGGTTTCCACTTCTGTTAGCCAAGAACAGAAAGCCAAGGCTGCAGTGGGCACAGGCATACTAAAACTGGACAGATGAAGACTGGAAAAACATAGCCTATTCTGCTGAATCTCAGTTTTTGCTGGGGCACACATGATTGCGTCAGAATTTGACACCAACAACGTAAATCCATGGACCCAACCTGCCTTGTGTAAACAGTCCAGACTGTTGGAGCTGGTGTAATGGTGTGAGGAATGTTTCTTTGGCACACTTTGGGCCTGTTAATACCAATCAGTCTTCACTTAAATGCCACAGCCTGTATTTGAGAATTGTTGCTGACCTTGTGCATCCTTTCGTGACCACAGTTTACCAGTCTACTAATGGCTACTTCTGGCATGATAATGCCACAAAGCAAAATTTGTCTTTAACTGGTTCCATGAACATGATGATGAGTTCTTTAGTGGTCTTCCTAGTCACCGGATCTGAATCCAATAGAACATCTTTGGGATGTGGTAGAATGGGAGATTCACAGCATGAAAGTGCACCAGAAAAATCTGCAGGAACTGCATGATGCAATAATGTCAACATGGACAAGAAATTCAAAGGAATGTTTCCAACATCTTGTGGAATCCATGCCTTGAAAAATTGAGGCTGTTTTGAGAGCAGAGGGGGGCCCTATCCAGTATAAGAATGGTCTTCTGGATAAAGTTGTCAGTGACTGTACATTAGTTAAATAGACTGCATGCAGAGATAAGAGATAGGAGGATTTGCTGCGTGAAAAAGCAAAGTTTTAAATATTTGGCAGACTCCTTTTTTTTTATTTTGGCATTAATCAGAAACAAGTTGCAGTTTCAATATTTGAAAATAAATCAGTACTGCTTGTATGGTGAGATACTGGTGAGAACTGGTGAAAATCAATGAACGCCGGAGTTCACCAGAGTTCACCAGACGGTTCTGTCCCAGTAACACAATGGAAAGAGCACACACAGAGCTCTGACCTACCAGCCAGGAGTGTAAACTGATAAAAAGAACTGTATCTAGGTGTTCATCTGCCAAAGTGCATCTCCTTATCCATCAAGAAGGATTATAACTGCATAACACAAGGGTAACATTTCTTTATAAAGTTCTTTATAAACATGTCAAATATGTTTCTGGAGACATTCAAGCAAAAAATATTTTTGTTTGTGTTCCTGATTTTGATTTCCATGCAGTGCACACCATGCAATGCAGTTGCTTCTTTTCTTTACTGGAGGCTTTACCTCCAAATTATGCATCATACCACATATACCCACTGCTTCTTTTAAAGTCTAATCTTCCAAACTTATGTTTAAGTAATAACAAAATGCAGGGGTATTAAAAGTGTAGGGGTATTAGGATCCAAAACATGCCTAAGGGCAGCAGTATGAAGTACAGGGTTAATGGAAATGCATAGATTAAATGGAACAGGACAGTGATGAAAGCATTCAGGCACACAATCAGATAGCACCCATGATGTTTAGGATCAAATAAGTGTGAAAAGGGGAAAAAGAAATAGTTATACATCACTTTTATTTCAGCACTTTAAGTTTTAGTTAATATTCTTCTGTATGCAAAAATCTTATATGTATCTATGTATGTATGTATTGCAAGATGATAACTAATTTTATTAACCTGTACCTCAAAGACTAACATGACAAAATCCTTGCAGACAATTTTGGTCTGCTAAAACCAGGCTTGCTTAGTCTTGTTCATCTACACCTGAGATGGGCAACCCTGGTTCAAGAGAGACACAGCCCAGCAGAGTTTGGTGAAAAACCTACTTAAGCACAGAACCAGAGTTGCCCAGCCTTGACTTGCACTGATTTGACATGTTGTCTCTTTCTCTGTTTGTGTGGGAAGTTGCCATTGCTGCTGGACGAAAACTTGCACATCGACTGTTTGAGGGCAAAGCAGAATCTAAAGTGGACTATAGTAATATTCCTACTGTTGTCTTCAGTCACCCCCCTATTGGCACTGTTGGACTAACTGAAGGTAAGTATTATGCACTCATCAGGCAATGCATACTGTATTATTTCAAGAAAAGGAAATGTGATGAAAAGCCACAGTACTCCCTGTATAGATGGCATCTCTGTTTTTGGGCTGTCAAATGACTGACTCTGTTTAATCATGATCAATCATGTTTGACTTATGTGCTCAAATTGGACTGTTTAAAAAAAACAGTGCATTACATTCGAGCGATATGAATGGACAAAATGATCTTTATCAGAATGCATTTATTACTTGCAATAATTCATTGATATTATTTTCAACATGAGTGCATGATTTACATGAACCTGAACATGAAAATCACTAGACTTAAGTATGTTGTAAATGGTTTCCAATTTTCACCACCAGCGCATGTTTCAATCAATGACGGTGTATATCTTATAGGTTCAATGATTCCAGCTCCTCTGTGATTGTATTTCTCTTGGTCTTGAACAGCTTGTGTATTCTCGTTACAGTAGTGGCTCCTGGGGGTAACGTTAGTTTTTTTTTTTTGCATAGAGTGCATGGAGCACCAAGACAGCATACACATGAGGAAAACCACTTGATAACGCGACATGACCAAAAGTTTGTAGACATGCACTTTTTCAACATTTCTTGAGAAATCAGGGATTTTAATAATGTTTGTCCCCCACTTTGCTGCAATAAAAGCTCTGGAACCTTCTGGAAAGGCTTTCCACTAGATGTTGGAACATTTTTTTATAGGGCTGCAACAACTTGGCGAATCAACGAATCTTTTCAATTTCTGTGCATTAAATGCAGTTCCACTGCTCCGCAGTTAAAAGCTTTGTGCCGTTCTAGCTGATGGCATTGGGAATTAGGGCTGTCAAAATTAAATTCAACATTCAAGTATTTATCAAATTTAATGGAAAAAAAACTCAGTCTGTTTATTTTAAATGTCTGTTTAAATGTTTAAAGCTACCTCTGCTGCAGCTCCTAATATATTCCAGACCAGAAGTTTTATGATATGATCACACATGATGACATATGATAGAACATGCTATTGCTGACCGTAAATAAACAAAACAATAATCTACTTTGACTTTAATTATATATTTAGATACATAGGACTGCACAGCTCTTTTGCAACTCAGCCATTCTTAATAGTGATATTTTTTAGCTGAATAATGCTAAGAGGCAGAAAAACATTCGCACAAGAAGAAAGTGAATGGTCTGCTTCAGATGGCAGACTTTTTTCTGACAAGCCAATGATCAAAATGCGGATCACCTAATATTTATAAGATATTATAGTAAGCTGGTAATTTAACTTTTTTGGCAACGTTATGCTGTATAGAATTAATGGAATTGATTTAATATAAGCCAAATACATTCTCGCACAAGGTAAGTGTTCTTACAATGGTGAGAATTACTAGTTTATAACACAGAATCTTTGGGGCTGCTGGATTTTTTTTTTGCTGAGCACTGACTGAATTTAGACTGAGATAAACTGACTTAGAAATCTGACTTAGAAATCAGATGCTACACAAGACATTGATTTTGATGTTAGCTCTTTCTTTTGACATTGTTGAAATTCAACAATTAAACTAAGTAGCTAACTAATTTTTGCTTATGTTAGCTTGTCAAATGGACTGGATATTGAAGCTAACAGTTCATGCAGTTAAAAGGTTTCAGGACTGCTGCCACGGCTGGATGACATTAACTTGGCTAATGTTGCTGGAACCTGGTGGCATAATGGTACTGATAAGTTGAACCTTGGTGGACCACAACATTAGTGAAATGTGAAAACAGAGTCTTCTGTTCTTTTGTTCAAAAAGTAGGTGTAAAAAGGTTCATATATGTAAAATAGTTTTAGCAAACAAGACAATCAGTTTTGTTTTTGTCTTAAATTGATGTAGAGCACAATGATTACTGTGGACTGCTATAACTGGAATCATATCAGAATCTAAACCCAATGCACCTTATGAAGCCAGTATAGACCTTTTAGCAGAAGACACAAGTTTGCAGGGTTTTTTAGAATTGCGCTTATTTATAATAGTTGATTAGTAATTAGTGAGGAGGAGGAGTCTACAAAGCAGATGTCTGCCAAAAATGTTGACCTTTTGCTTTCATATAAGCAATAGTTTTTAAACTCTTATTAAAATATACCCCCTAGTTTATGAACTTTGTTACCTTTTCCACTGTGCTTGATTTTGCATGTCAGGCAATTGATTGCCTGTGTCAGCAATAAGTGCACTATAAAGGAGAAATGCATTGATACTCATACTTGCATCACGTATTGGCCTAATAGTGTGCTCATGTACTCATACTTGACCTCACAAAAACGCACCGATACTGATATCTGATACCACCCGATACTATGTGGCATAAGCTTAGTGTACGCTTCCACATCAAACGACTGATGCTGGTAGTGAACAAGGATCTGCTCACACAGTAAAGTGTTACTGACTCTGTTGGGGTCAGACACAAAGTCGCTGGGCACTTTAAACATTCCACCTTGGCATTATTTTTCAATCAGGTATGTGAGATTTTAGCCAGTTTTTAAAGACACACAAACACAGTCACAACAACCATTTGCTTCCGCAACACAATAAGACATAGGCTAGCAAAACCAAGGGAAAAAAGAAGTCAGCATTTGCTACCAAAGTCCATTTTGACTGAACATAATTGTGAGGTATAAATGTTAATATGTTAATTTTTTAAAATTAACTTTGTAAAATAGGCTGTACAGAGTCCATATTGTCCTACCGTGCACATCACCACCTGGTGTAGTTTCCCTGCATAGTGTGGTACAAGTTAGCTGAGCTGCTGAGAACAACGTTTCAAAAATTGCACAGTGTATGCTTAGCTTTAGAAGACGTTCAACTAGCCCAACAAAACAAGACATGAAAATCAAAACATGACTTCTTCGGATAAGCCTCAGATGTGTTTTCTGCTGTCACTATGCAACAGCGACTGTTGTTGAAAGAGACAGATGAAAATCAAAACTGTGAAATGTACTTTTCTTACAGCTGTACAGAAGCACTCTGACATGGAACAAAACCCAGTCTTCTCCACTGCAGCGCTATTCGATCCAATGTAACTAATGTAACATAGCTATACACGTCATTTAAAATCAGCTAGATGTAAATCTTTTAATTTCAAGGTACATTGTACTAATTTATACCATAATTTACACTAATATACACTACTTAGTTCTATGTAGGTTACTCATTATAGTATCATAATTACTATAAGTGAGTACAAAAACATTATCGTGTGGGCTGAAAAAATGGTTTCGATACATCCATACTATAAAGTAGTTGGATTAACTAATTAGAAGGGGTGCCTGGATATTTTTAGACATATTTGGACATATAGTGTACTTTATAGCTCCCTAAAGCTATAAAGGCTGTGGCAAGGCAAAATAGATGCCAAACAGTTGGGACAGTATGCAAAATAATAATAAAAACAGGATGCAGTGATTTTAGTAAATTCTGCTTGACTTATATTAAACAATACAAATTATGACATAAGATGTTTTACCTTATGCATTTAAGTTTTTAAGAACTTATTTTATAATATAGCTTGGCTTTTTACTACTGTATTACATCACTTTTCCTTTTAATAAGACTTGTAGACACCAATGGGTTCATTTTTCAAAAAGCTGAATTTTTTAGGCTTCACTTGTGCAGGGCCATTGTTGTCATATATTTATTTATTATTTTAAATCATATTTTTGCTTAGCAAGAATAAATAATTACAATGCAGCATATATTGTTTTTTCCCCCTTATTGTGCATAGACAAATACTTATAGAATTGTAAAATAAAACATATTCAAACAGGTTGGTCTTAAATGAGCATAATATGTACATTTAAAGTCAGTTTAAACTATGGGTGAAATGATAATAAAAATAGAACTCTGTGTTCAGTATTGTTTGATCTGTATTAAACTGAAAAAATACAATAACATATTTGATGTTTTACTTTATGCTTGATCATTCTTTATTTTATTTATTTATTTTTTGTAAATATGCACTCATTCCAAATTTGTTGGCATCAACACGTTCCAAAAAAGTTTGGAAACCTTGCATGGCATCACTGCATGTAGCACCCGTAAAGTATATTTGAGTCATGTAGCAAAACTTGCCTTACAGAACTTCTGACCTGTTCAGAGTATACTGTCTAATATCAGGGGCATCTTCAACCTCAAGTTCTTTTGTAAAAGCTTCCTCTGAAACATTAAGGATAGTGTGCATAACAAGAATCAGAGGATTCACTAAAGATTAATAAATTAAACTGTCAGGTGGTTCTCTGTGTCATGTGGAACTTCAGAGCTCTATGTCTTGTCTCTCAACAGAATGACTTCTACTCTTCATCCCATCTTCAGCTGCATACTGTGAATTCATATCTTCATCTTTGGATTCATAACTTTCTGTGTGTCCATTTCTCACATTGTCTTTCTTTCCTTCCACAGGTTCCATGGCTACATCTCTTACACAAATGTCCTTAGCCATTACATCATTCATGTCTTCCACAGGTCTTGTGTCTTTAGTTTTTGTCTCTCGTGTAAACTCAACACATCTTTGAATATAGAATCCTCCGTTTCAACAGGTCTGTCTGTCCCTTTTCTCATGTACCACAGAAGGCTGGAAAGGTGTGACATTAGGATTCAGGTTTACCTGGTGGTGACTCTCTTCAGCTGATCTTGAATAAAACATGTCTCGAACAATAGTTAGAGTTGGGTTCAGGACCTCTTCAGTAGTATAAGGGAAGTTGTACTCCACTCCATCACTTTCATAAACTGCCTCAGCATCATCCTGTATCAAATTTTCTGAAGTTTTCTCTGGACTAGATACCTTATTTTGCTCTTTGACCATTTCTTCAGTGGAGGCATTTAAGTCCAGGAAGTTACAAGGTAGGAGGAATTCAAAATGGAATGTTCTCTCTGGACCATCTGAAGAAAAAGGCTTCACCGTATAAACTGGAGAATCATAAATTTGCTTAATAACTTCATTAATGGTCTAGCTCCATCGGTCACCTATTTTGTGCTCTCATTCCTGTGTTCTTTACTAGAATGTGATCTCCAGCTTCCAGAGTGGACTCTCTGACTTGCAAATCATATCTTTCCTTGTTGTGAAGAGTGATCTTCTCATTGTGCAAGTTTGTAACTTTCCTGTAAATGTTCACGGAGCTTTCTGACATAGTCTGTATGAGTTGTTTACTTCTGTCCCTTCAGTCTCAGGCCAAGCGCCACATCAATGGGTAGGCTAGGTTGTCTGCTGAACATTAACTGATAAGTAGAAAAGCCTGTCATGTCATTTTTAGTCTATTGTAGGCATGGACTAATGGCTGGACTTCACCTTATCTGCTTCTTGAAGCATTTCCAGCATTTCAAGTAGAGAACGATTGAAACGTTCCATGGGTTTTCTACGTGTGTGGTAAGGAGTCATTTTTGTCTTTATTTCCAACAAGAGACAAAGGTCCTTGATTACAGCAAACTCAAAATCACGAACTTGGTCACTACAAAGATGCTCAGATGTGCTGTAATGTTATTCCACAGTATTTTGGTGACTATCTTTGATTTCTGATCGGCTGATGGAACTGCAATGGCGTATTTTGTAAAATAGTCATGATGACCAAAATGATTTTAGTGCCTCTACCATCAGGTTTTAAAGAGAGATAGTCCATGCAGACTAACTCTAATGGTCTGGTGGTCTTTATGTTCACCAAGGGAGATGTTTTCTCAGCCCTGGACTTTCATTTGACAGATCTCTTACCTGTCTTTATTTCCACATCCATGGACATTTTTGGCCAAAATAAGTGTAATCAAACTAAATCTAATGCCTTCATTTAACCCCATGTGATCTGTCAGATCATGGAGACTTTCCAAAGCAATTTCTCTATATTTATGAGGTAGAACTAACTGATAGAAAGGTTCGCCTCTAATCATGTGCATTCTGTAGAGAACTCTATTAGTGATCAATGAGCTGTTCTGTTATTCTAAGTATAAGATGAACTTCTTTCTCCTCTTGTTGCCTAACATGATAAGACAGGCATTTACCAGCATAATGGATGTTGATGACCCTGTTGATAATCACATCATTTTGCCTGCTCTGTAGCTCAGTCTTGCTGTGACATCCTAGGAAGAGTGCTTGAGCCAGGGAGTAGATCATGCAGAATAGAGGGTAACTGAAGATTGGCAAACCCTAACACTGAGCCAGTAGTGAATTTCTCATTGAGTGTCTGGAAAGCAACATCACACTGGTGTGTACACTTTCCGTCAAAAGGCTTCTTGAGATCAGCAGAAGAAGCTAGTTAGAGGCTTGTGACTTTTTCCGAGATGGAATATTTACAGCAGTCAGGTTATTGAGAGGCTTTACAATTATAAAGTAATCTCTGACAAACCCCCTGTAATATCTTGCAAATGCCAAAAAGCATTTCATGAAAAATTAGAATTTATCTGGCAAGAGCTAAGTAAATTCTTTCAACTTGCGTAAAACGTTCATGAGACACTCATAATGCTCCTCAAGACTGCTCAAAAAACAATGAGGTTGTCAAGAAACACAATAGCTTCTTTGTGTGCATCTGCCCATACATTTTTCCACAACTCGCTGAAATGTACCAGGCACGGTAGTCACTCCTTACAGCATTCTGTTGAACTCTCAGAATCCCATTGGTGTTATGAATGCTGTTTTAGGCTTGTCCTTCATTTCAACCTCAACCTGATAGTAGCTGGATTTCTGGATTTCAGAAGTCCATAACAGAAAACCACTTTGATCCTGTTAGTGCTGAAAGTGTCTCTTCAGTGTTAGGTAGCGCTAATGCTTCCTTAATTGTCTGATTGTTAAGCAAATTGTTAAGAGGAATATTGGCATAAAGGATGTGTGTATCATGAAAAGACTTTAATATTGTGACACTTGAGAGCCTGAATCAAAAAGAGCACTGCACTAGGTTCTTTCAATCAGGACATCTGCAGTGCATCTAGAACCTACCAAACCAGAGATCAGTTCATCCTAAAGATGATGCACACTAAAATGACTAACATGTGGCTCTTCTGTGTCTTCCATTCATTGGGACTATTCTCCCTGCAGTGGGTCTAAGCATGTCCCTTTACTGACACCCTGTCCAGTTAATGGCATTCCCTGTTTAGTTTTCACCTTGTCTTGCTTTTAGTTCTTTATTCTAATGGTCTACAAGCATTTTGTTGATGGAACCCTCACATGTTTTAGCTATGTGGCCATCTTCTCCACATCAGAAACAGAACTAGAGCTTTGGCTATGGGTCAGTTGATACTTGGTGAGCTTGCAACTCCATTATCACTCCGTGACAAACTCTTATTAATGTAATGCTACCAGTCCACTATAACTGCTTAATTTAATAGCACACGAAAAGAACTTAGATTGGTAAATGGGTCATTCTACTCAGAGAAATTGTGCATGAATCTTCAACCAACAAAGTGCATTGTGGGTATCCCCTATCTCCTAGGTACTTTGATTGTACACCACTTATTGCGATGCATTGTGAGATTGTAAATTTAAACTTATGACACTCCTGATAAATCTAAACCTTTCAACTCCACTTTAAAAGAAATCCAACAGATAAAACATTGGAAAAAATACATTAAAAAATTATTTTCTTTGGTTTAAATAGACAATAACATTATCTTTGTAAATATCTATGGTCTGAAGACTTAATTGGTTATTTATTTTTTTTTTTTTTTAACTGTGCAACTGCAGTTTGAACCAGTTTAGTAGAATGGCCCATAAAGGAAAGAGGGAGTTTGAGGATGAGTTTGGTGCTACATGAGGCAGATCTAACTAAACGAACATTTGAAGCACGCAAGACCCCATTTACACAGCATAAGGATTTTTTTGTGGCTTGGCACAGTAATACAGAATTTAATTGTTGTGAGTTGGTCATATAGGTGTGCATATAGAGTATTTTATTTCAAATGATGCTCAGCCAATCTGTTTTTTGGACTAAAACTATGTTTTAGAAGAATAATTTTGGACTGTTAATCTAGAGAATTTTTTTTCTGAGATAAAATTGCTTCTTATTTTAGAACAATTTATAGTTTTGTCTTGTATTCATTTAGCTGAAAATGTTCAAATAACTATGCATGTTCTCTTGAAAATAAACAGTAGTCATAATCATAGAACTGCTTAAGATTATCCCAGATATACATTGGAGGAATATATTCAGATTTGCTGTGTCACACACAGTTACATGTTTGTCTGTGTGGCTTTTAATCATGTTTCCTCAAATTTACCCAAAGCTATAATAGTGGCATATTTAAAAGATTAAAATGAAACTGTTTACAGATGAGGCTGTCAAGAGCTGGGGAAAGAGAAGTGTGAAAATTTATACAACTTCCTTCACTCCCATGTACCATGCCATCACAACACGTAAGACTCATTGCATCATGAAGCTGGTTTGTGTAGGAAAAGAGGAAAGGGTGAGTGTTTAGTTATTATTTAGGTAATTTGCTGTTTTTAACTGTATCCTTCCTGAACAGTCAAATTTCTTATGCTCTCTCTCTTTTATTTGTAGGTGGTTGGGCTGCATATGCAGGGTCTTGGGTGTGACGAAATACTTCAGGGTTTTGCTGTGGCCATCAAGATGGGTGCTACCAAAGCAGACTTTGACAACACTATTGCGATTCACCCTACATCTTCAGAGGAGCTTGTGACAATGCGTTGACCTGATTATCTTGGAAGTTCCTCTAAATCCCTGTTGATCATTAGACGTTAGTTGTCCTCAACTCCCCTGATCAGCCTGTGTGTAGGCTATTAAGGTTGCCCAATACTTTTATACAGATGTCTCAGCTAAATTCCCAGGCCCTTTTGCAACAAACAGTTTGATATCACAAATCAACAACCATATCTCATGTTGGAGATTAAGTTTTTTTTTCTGCGTTAGCTTGATTTGTTTTATGCCAAACCCACCCCTGGTCTTTGTTGCTAGCATATAATTGTAGTTTTAACCTCAAGATACAAAGCCTGCAATTGTTCAGCTTCTTGGACAAAGTTTCGCCATTCAGATCATTCTCTTCAATGTGTGTTGGAAGAAAAATCTTTCATCCTTCTTCTAGATGGGCTAATCACAGCTCCAGTTGTTGTTTATAGCCCTAATAGCAAAGAGATGTGAATCTATTGTTTTATAGCCATTGCTTGATTTATGAAGATAAGCAGCCCTTTGTCTTATTTGTTTGTTCTCTGATCTTTCCCAAGTTGATGGGTAAATAAAGGTGTTTGGCGTGCATGTCATCTCATTTATATCCCAGTGATGAAAATACAAGGTTAGATTTCTCAACAGTGCCTTTTTGCTCATCTTTACTGGGATACCAATTCACCATTTATTCTGATGCTTCGGTAACAGAGCATTTACTATTTACTGTTTACTATCTGATAGTTGCTAGTTTCCCCTTAATCTATAAACTAGAATGTAACTCTTATTTATTTTCTAAAAAAAAAAAAAATGTTTCAGTTTATAAACCAATTAGAAAGTAAAGGTAAATTTAAAAGATTCAGTGCTCAAAGCTAATCAAAACAAAGCAGCTTCCAGCTGCAAAAACACTTCAGCTCTGATAAGTTCACAGAAATCAAATTTACTGGAGACAAGAAGAGGATGTTGTCACTGTCCAAAGCAAAACAAGTGTCTCCAAAACAATTACTTTATAGGAGAATGCAAAAACATTCTTACCTTTAAGTGTATGATAATGTATAAATGTTTTATTCCAAGTGATTTTGGAGTATTTCTGGTGGTCCATTTATTATGAAAATTTCACACAACGTAAAGGACAACTAAATGATGTAGAAAAATAAAAATCAACAAAAATGGATATACATGTTTTTCTTGCAATGATATGCCAAATATGCTTCCTAAACCTGTCAAAAATTCCGCTTTTCACAACTCAACTTCCACCCTGAGGAACCATCTAATAGCTGACTGGCTAACTAATTTTAGCTAAACAGGTACTGTCATTTTACTGTTTTCTTCTTACTTTGTTTTAGAATAACATGGCGGCTGTTTATTAAACTTAAAGGTGTATGTTGTGTACGAGCAATAAAATAAATTTAAAAATCTTAATCAATGCAAATCCAAATACTTATAGTCTGACATTAATTCCTTTGCATACACTAATTATTTATTTATTATTTTAATTAATTTCCATATTGGCAGAAACACATGTACACAGAAGTCTGATTGTTGTCTGATTTTGTAGTGACATCTGACAATTTAAATATTTCATATAAATGTCACTTCCAAGAGTGATGACCACTTGTCTTGCATTAGAACATGACAGAGTGATGTGATGGTGTACACAGACTCGAGTGCGGGGGTGGGGGGTGAAATTACAATTAGTCAAACCTATTCTAGTCATAATCTGATTTTTACTATACAAATGTAATGTATATTCAAGTCCATTTTTCTTCTTGCAAGAACCAAGAATAGACTTAATTCTAATAAATGTTCTATTAAATAATTATAGTGATGATATTGTAATATTATACAAACTCTTTATTAAACCAATGACTTTTAGCTCATCCATAAAAAGTAGAATAATAATAATAATTATTATTATTATTAGTAGTAGTAGTAGTAGTAGTATTAGTAGTAGTAATAACCAAAAATCAACTACAAATCAAAATGCTTCTAATTTCTGCATATGGTGTTTTCTGATCAAAAACCCAGATAAATTCCTTATGCGTGCTAATATATATGGCAAATAAAAATAATTATGATTCTGACGTCTTGGCACACTGAAGCTACATAAACGAACACTGATAATTTTACTCAAAATGAGTGGCACAAATTAAGACAAATGTGACTACTGTGTTTTAAGTTTTAAATGTACACTTTACACTATGTGCAGAAATTCAACAAACACAACATACCTGCAGTGAAAAAAGCTGTTCACAAAACAGTTAGAAATTCATTACAATGTAAAAGCACATATTAAGCATATATTTAAAACAATCTGGCAACAAGCTAAGCAAATTTTACTTTGTAAGAATTCTTGAAATAAGCAACAAAAAAAGGAATATTGCTTTCATCAACTTCAGAGCACATGTGAATACACTACGTTTGTTAAAAAGGCTGCTTTTGAGAATCCTAAGAAAAAAAACAACTGAATCCCCTAAATTCAGTATTACAAAGATACTCAAATAACACCATCTCAAAATCCCTGAAATAAAACAATGTAACATGAGGCTACTTCTCTAAACAAGTAAAAAAAAAGCCTTTATTTAAGATCATAACTATTGACACAACATTGTACCAATCTAATCAGTGACTTTTTTGTACTTATTTTGTGCCATAAATTACTTAAACAAGACAAAAATGATTAGTGAGAGTTTCAGAGAAGAAAAGATCAGACCAATCAAAACACGTCATGGGCGGAGCTGTCCGGCTTGACTCCGCCTCGTTGGCTTTTGGTTCCGTATGACCGTTAAGCCAAACGCGACCGTTTCGAGCTGTGTATGTTCAAATCATACTCACCAAATGAACGATACATGTTTAACTGCCATTTTATTAACCTAGTATAGTAAAACCTCTTCAAAACATTAGCTTATGCGCATTACTACCTTACTTCTCACCGAGCGCTAATTCTACATGCCTGGATGTAGTAGAATGAGGACGACCTCACTTCTTCTGCTTACAAAAGGTAAGGAGCAGTGAAATAAGGTTTAAAAATCACGATCACGAATCACGAATTGAAGTTCAGCTCACATACTCTTAGCTGTCAGCTGACAAAGGCTACGTTTACACAGCAGGTAAAAGTGGCCCAAATTCGATCTTTTTCCTCAAATGTGACACAGATGTGTCATCTGTGTGGCAGTGTGAACAGCAAAAAACGCATTGAATCTGACATTTTCAATTACGATTTGAGACGCTGATATGTGGTGCTGAAATCCGATACGTATCCGATCTGCGGCAATGCGACTCAGTCTGAACATCCGGATCGGAATTCATGCGACTTTTGCGTCAGTACAACTCGACATTCGTCATAAATTCGCGCTGCTGTGACTCATAAACATTTAGGCTGATGTTTCTGTACCAAAACATTAGAAGAGACTCATCAAACCGCTCCGTGATCGAAGAGGTTTAGAACGAAACGGCCGAACGCGGCCGGAGGAGACCGAGGCTGCAGCGTCAGAGAACAGTTTAAAGAATCCGAGGACACGAACCAAAAAGCGGCCGTGGCCGAATAACGCGCCCTTTTTTCGGCGAACACATTCTGGGTGATGAGTCCAACTGTCAACCACTGGAACGTTATACTCGCTCATGCGATGCTGGCGGAGACGAAACTGAAAGCTCCGGGAGCGACAGGCGTTCACTGACCGTCATGACTGTTTACCTCTGGTCGAGCCGCCACGTGAAGCACTGTTCTTTTGCGCATGCGGGTCGGTTTAGGAGCGTGATCTGTTCAGACTGATGCCGCATACAGGTCACATTTAAAAGATAGTGTGAACAGCCAAACAAAAAAAAAATCGGATTTGGTGAGAAAATCAGATTTGGGCCACTTTTACCTGCGGTGTAAACGTAGCGAAAGTCACTGACAACTTAAAGTTACTACCTTATTGACTCATAATAGCAAGGCAATATAATAAAATATAATAATATAATTCGGGTCAAGTCGAAAATGTAATAAAAGTTAAACTTGGTACCCTGCCATTAGAGCAGAAATTAGAGATTAAACGTTTGGGACCACACCAGCCAGAGGATTTTAACATCATTCACTCTGGAATAGACAAGAACTGCTCCTTCAATCCACCAGGGGTTCATGAGAAAACATGTCTAACTGTCTCTCCTGCTTTTGCTTGCCTGCCCTTGCTTTGCTATCACTTGAATTCATTCATGGATTGGTGGACTTTGACAAAAAAGTTTTTGACAAGTTTGCCCAGATGAAAGATTGTCAGGCATCTTTTCTTTTCGAGCGGTGAACGTCACTAGTGAGTCATTTTGCATTATTACAAGGCATGTTATTCCTAATGGCCGGAAAGCAATGTGTTTTTGTGAGATCTAATGTCGTTATCATGTCACTCATTCCTGTCTCCACCTCCATTGACTCCTGCACCAAGTTACATTAATTTGTAAATTTGTGATTTCATTGGTGGAGCATGTTTGTGTTTGGATCAGGTTTGTGTGTAGTTTTATTGGCGAGTCATCTGCTGCCCCTACAGTTTATTGTGCCCCACCAGGCTTTCTGTGGCAGAGACACCACTGCTGTTCACTCTACTGGACATTCCTTGCTGGTCCACTTTGTAGATATAAGGTCAGAGATGAAAGCACTGCTGTGTCTGATCCACTCGTATTAGCACAACACACACTAACACACCACCAGTCATCAGTGACATCACTGTCACTGATGACTGTGCTGAGAATGATCCACTGCCCAAATAATACTTTGGTGGTCCTGACTATTGAAGAAGAGGGTAACAAGATGCTAACAAACTATGCAGAGAAACAGATAGACCACAGTCTGTAATTGTATAACTCTAAAATGCACTTATATGTAGGTGAAGCTTATATAATGGACAAAGAGTGTAGATACAAGGGGGTGTTCCTAATAAAGTGCTCAGTGAGTGTAGAAGCTACCGATTACACTCGATAGATTTCTGTTGTTTCTGTGTATAAACAATGGGTAATCCTTGACTTTCCAGCAAACAGCATAACAGGACCCATTGTTACAGCCAAATTTACAGTGTGGCTAGCCAGCATAGCCAGAAACTTAAAGCAAACTGTAACTTCAACACACAAGGAAATTCAAATGTATAATGAAAATGACAAAACACTTTATTCACTTAATATTACCTGAATACTTGAGAATGCCACTCTTGTCTGCTGGACAGATTACAGTGAAGTTAAGGCTAGAGTGCATGCACCCAATTTAAACAGTTAATAATTTAATAATTTAAATAAATTAAAATTTTACAGCATGTTATATAATTATGTTATACAATATATACATATGATTTCTATATATACTTACTTATGGTTTTATAATTTATTTCCATATATATTTTTGATAGTGGGGTATATATATTGGCCTAAATCACTTACAATGTATAAGTGTACTTGGTTTTCACTTTGCAAATGCACTAACACCGAAAACAAGTTCACAACTCAATGTTATACCAGTGTTGAAATGGGGTTAATATACAAATATTAAAAATAAGTCCACATTTAATATTATATGAATGTGAAAATGGAGTTGATTTACCAATATTAAAAACAAATTCACTGTTCAATGTTATAGCAATGTTGAAATGATGGTCATATACATCTGACTCTGTTGCTTTGGAGACAAGATTTCAACTTGATTTCAGCATTGTGATAACGTTATGTTTTATATATGTGTGTATATATATATGTTTTTAAACACTTCAGTGCTACTGCTGAGCTAAGAATAGTCCACCAACCAAAAATATCCAGCCAACAGCGTCCTGTGGGCAGCGTCCATGGGGGTCCTGACCACTGAAGAACAGGGTAAAAAGGGACTAACAAAGTATGCATAGAAACAGATGGACTACAGCCTGTAATTGTAGAACTACAAAGTAGTTAAAATAAGTCAATTGTTTTCTTAAAAACACTTTTTATTTATTTGTTATGTATTGTCCTTTATAGTGGACAACAGGGCATTGGATAGTAATTATGTTGGTGTAATTTTTCTTGTTTCATATACTGCAGACCAACCCTGCTGCAACATCAGCAAACCTTGTCATCAGTCTTTGAAGTCTTGGGGCCATATTACAGAAAATTGTCATGGCCACTTCAGTTAAGACTGAAATTAGGACAGAAGCCATTACAGAACAACAGTTCGTAAGTCTATAATATAATTTCAGATAAGAAAACGGTATTACAGAAACATCCCAAGTTGCCAAAATATCCTAAATATTTTCTTAACTGTAAGACTACCCCTGAGCTGTGTTAACTTCTATTTTAATCGTCTGTTTCTATTGTTTTATGCAGTGATAGGCAGTTCACTACAAGTAACTTAATGACGTTAGCTACATTTTTCTACACCGAAAACGGTGCTTTGTGAGTTTTTTTAACAGCGTTTAAAAGCCCCAGACACTGCAGACACGATCTCCACCTTCCCCTCTTATTACCTTCATGTGTTAATGTTTGATAAAAACTCGTGAGGTACAACATTACAGTGATGGTGGTGAACGTGTGTTTGTTTATTAGGAGGAATAACGTAGCGCGCTTGGCTAAAGCGTTTGGGAAATAAAAATTGAAACTGGACAGCGGCGACGCTCTGAGTAAACAGCGAGGAGCGCTGTCACAATATTCTTAACCCCCATGCTTTAGTTTTAGTTGAACTTTTTTAGTAACGGTGGCTAACGTTAGCTGTCTGGCTAACTCTGGCTAACTGTTTATGTTTCAGCTGTGCGCGTATGGTCGGTTGCTAGGTAACAGACACGACAGTTGATTGGCGACTTAAATCGAGTGAGTTAAGATTTCCTAACTTGAGATAAGAAATGATGCTGTAAGATTCCTAAATTAAGATTGCCTCTGTAATACGAATTTGTGTAAAAATCTTGACCTGTCAGATCTTAAGTTTAGATAAAAAGACTTTTCTGTAATACGGCCCCTGATCATTAACGTACTGCTCTAAATCCAGTACTTAGGGTGTCATTTAGTAGCAAACTGTTCCATGGTAACTATAGTGATGAATCTTGAAGAGATGAATGAAGAGAATTAATTTATTTTTAATGTTTTAATTTTAAAATGTACAAGTACGTAAAAGGAGATTTTCTAATAAATTAGGAAATTAAATAAAGCTCAGATCCCGAACTTAAATGCTTGCATACAGTTATTACAGTTGTCCAGGTAGCAGTAAGAGTAATACTTAAAATACTGGCGGTACAAAAAATGAGGACCAAAAAGAAAAAAAAAATAGATACAGTAATATCACAGTAATGTGCCATTTTGAAAAGGTAGAACTCCTGACACACCCCAACAAACAGGAAAGGCTAGGATGTCCTCTACATGGAACACCAGGTTTTAGCACTGTAGCTTATATGGCTTTTGAAATATCCTTTGGAGACTTATGTCCCCCCACAGAGGACAAAAATGAATAACCAGTTCGCACGAGGATATAATGAGTTCGTCATTTGAATTTAACGCCTCTGACAATAGCTCTGCTGCATAGAAAGCCAAATTGTCCAATTTTCGCCACAAACCTCTGTATTTATATTATGGCGTATATCACTGTAATGACAATTTAAAAACAGCGTAAAAACAGTCATTGGATTAAACCCGTTTTTACCCGATTGTGCCACTAAAAGATTAAAAGCTTTAGAGTTTGAAAAGAGAACACAGTGGCATCTGGTGGTGATGTTTAGAAATTATAGCAGCCATTATCTCGAGACTGTGGACGAAGCACCTACATTGTTTTATTTATTTCATAGTATCAGTTTGATATGTAAATGAGTACACTTAATACGTTCATTTCGACCTTGTTGATAAAATACATCGTATTCATATGTATGCATGTTTTCTTCTAATTTATTTGATGGGTGTGAATGCTTAAATAAAGGTCGTGTTAAAAATGCATAACCAGTGGCTTCACTTGTCTTACAGTTCGTGAAATAAGACTTCAAAAAATCGCGACAGTCAAAGCCCAGTGAATTTCGATGTTTCCAGCCTCACCAGTCGTGCGGTAATGGACAATCACAGGCTTCTTGCGAAACGGTGTGCTTTACAAAAGTGAAAGGAGTTTCGACGCATCGGTACCATGTGCTCCGTCATAAGATCCAGCTCGAGAAAGTTTATCCCGAACTTTTTTGACTGAACGTAATATTAGTTTATATGGTATGGATGGCATTGTCTAACAATGCCCCCGTATTACTGGCATTCACACGCTAACAAATATATGTCTAGCCATTTACGGGGGGGAGGTTATAAAAACAAGAGATACAGACTTCAGATCGTCTGCACCAAAGCCAGCAAAAGCTTAAAACAGGAGCGCCCTTCAATGTTAAGACAAACCCAGAAATCGTTACTGAACGACAATTTTCCTCATCAGTGGAGTTTTCCTAAATGCATTTCTGTTATCAGCTAATTACACGAGAGCACACGCCATTTAAGGGTCATTACATTTTTTTAAAAAGACACTTCCCATATGATCACAAAGACATTCACTCTTTCATGTGTTTGTGTTAACCCTGCTGAAAACCCCCACAGAAACCATTAAGTGGTGTTGTTGGTTCCTGGTGGTTCGTTTGGCTTTTTCGATGTATTGATATAATGTCAAACCATTGAGATCCTTTACAGATGACCAATGCCTGATTGCAAATGCTTTTAATGGTTTCCTAATAGGATCTAAAGGTGGTCTAAAGGAACGTAGCAGTTTCTGTTGGAAACTATTAAGCCAATTCCCATTAGAAAGCAAAACCGTTAGGTTTCAGTCTTATGGTTTCCGGTGGTTATAGAAATTCCTGTATTTTTGCTGCAGGACTCCTACAGGACAAGCATATAGATCGGAAGTCACTACAGCTTATTGACAAGTATATAAAAATATACTAGTAAAGATTATCCATAGCTTAAAGTATTTTACAGCAGACACACTATAGCAGTCATAGGTTAATATTACGTTACTAGAATTCGTTAAGTAAGGCTGCTACACGGTTAAGAGCTGAAAATCAATATTCCAATCATTGATTCAGAAGAAGGCATAGCTTGCAATTCCACTTCCGCTCAAAATGTAAAAGCACCTGTTGCTCTGTGCTCAAAACACACTGAAATATCAGGGAAAAGCTAAAAAGCTACCAAGACAAACGCTTCTTAAAAGCATTCTGCTACTATCATTTCTAGCCAAATGTCATTTCACTGTGAAACACTACCAAATGTGAAAAATAAGAATTAGCTGGGCAAAAATTAGAACTACTCGTTTAAAGCAGTCAGTTCAGTACCAAGGAAGCTCTGTAGTCGGTGTAATAATTGAGAACAGCTATGTAATGACAAATATAGAACATGTAAAATTCTTTCTGCAGGCTTACACCTCATCAAAAATGTATATAAAAAGTTTCATTATACAGAAACAGAACCAACAACTAAAGGTACTTTTGTATTAAGAAATTGATTTAATTTTCTCATGTAAAAAAGGTGCCGTCATTAAAATACAAAAGCGTAATTTCCAGCGCAAAAATGGAGCTAAAACCTTTTGGGGAACACTTGCAACAATAAAACTACAGACTTTTCTATTAAATACAGGTACACTGCTGAAGTCCTGTATAACAGCTTCAGTAGGAAATGTCAGAATATTTCCAAGTCCTTGGGGCTTGTCCATCCATAGTCATGGCTGATGTGACTCAGTGAAAACCTAGGAAGGGATAGGAAGGAGGAGGAGGAGGAGGAGGAGGAGAAGGGTAAAGAAGAAAAAAGGGAAAAAACCCACACATGGATTACTGACACCACAGAAATGTTAACCAAGCACAGTGCAAAATTATTAAACAATTAATGCCAAATTTCCCTATTAGGTGTGCGACATATTCCCTGAACGTGAACACAATGCACCATTTGGGTTTAGGTCCACTGATATTGAGAGCAAACAAATATCAATATACAACAATATAATAACACTTGACCAACACGTAGTGAAGGCAGGTTGATTACATACCTAGACCGCAGGATATCCTAATGGGATATTTCAGTCAAATCACAATCGAACCCAGGTATTCAACAGGTCGCCTGTATAAACAAACTTCTACATCTATTTTTAAGTAGCGGAATAACTGAAACACCTAAATATAGGAATCAAAAGTAAATAGAAACCCTTAGTAGTCAGTTAACAAGACATGAGTATTCAGTATCCCCACATCACCCAAATATGCAAAAATTACCTAAAGAACTAATGGAACAATGCAGTGTACAGAACTTCAGTAGTATGAACAGAACTGTACATTCCCCTCAGCCATAACATCTAAAAAGATGTAAGCTTAAGCTGTTAAACTTTATTTAAAAAAAAAAAATTAACATACAGTTGCATTTCAGTGTTTCACAACGTGTTCTGCAGAAAGGTATACAATACAAATGACAATCCTGCGTATATTTTTAAAAAAAAGGTGGTGTAAACTACATTGCTAGGTTAATTTACAAACAATGAAATAGTTGGCTTTGCCACATCGGTATTAACTATAGGGAGTTTTACAGAAACGACCGACTGAACGTAAAAGTGAATTAAACATAACTAAACAGACTTGCAATACATTGTTATCTATATTGCAAGTTGGCAGTTTCAGCAGAACTTGGTTTAGCCTATTCCCAACTCAAATCTAAAACCTAAAATTGACTGGACATGTGAACAAGGCTTGAAAGAAATGTCCGAATTTAAACTAATAAAACAAAATTAAATGGTTAGGATGAAATTGTACATGCATAATTCAGCTCAGAACAAACTGTTTTGAAGGAGACTAAAACTTGTCCTACAACAAAAACTGGTCAAACAAGTCAGGTTTCTTGGAAGCAGCCTTCCTACCTGTTAAGAATTGAGGTCTTTTAGGTAAGGTTTCACAGTGTCCGCCATTTCTTAATGGTGTTTAGCAGAGACCAGATGAAAGATGCTTTCTGCCCAATATGACGAAATATAAGGACAGCCTGCAGAGTCCTTCAATCAGTGATTTTCTCTCTCTTTTAATATGCGCCTCCGTAACCACCCCGACCATAGCCAGCTGCACCACCACGAGGGTAAGGGGCACCGCTCCGACCACCATAAGTGTTCCCGCCTTTCATGGGCCCGTAACCAGACGACTGCTGACCGTATCCACTGCCAAAATCACTGTAGCCATTGCCGCCACCGTAGCCCCCCATCTGGTCGGCGTATCCTCCTCCATAGCTACCTCCATAACCTCCTCCATAGCCACCTCCATAACCTCCGCCATAGCCACCTTCGCTGCCGCCATATCCTCCACCGTAGCCACCCCCATAGCTGTTGTAACCACCTCTTCCACCAGCGAAGCCATTTTGATTTCTCCCCATTCCTCTACCTCCTCTTCCCCTTCCGCCACGAGCTCCACCGGCAGCCTGTATCTCTTGTCTTGTGAGTGCCTTCTTCACCTCTACTTTGTGCCCTTTTACTGTGTGAAACTTGAGCACAACTGCTTTGTCTGCAGAGTCATTGTCCTCAAAGTGCACAAAGCCAAAGCCACGCTTCTTGCCGGTATCCTTATCAGTAATGACTTCGGCTTTCTCGATTACACCAAACTGAGCAAAAAAATCATGTAGGTCTTCTTCTTCGATGTCGTCTTTGAGGCCCCCAACAAATATTTTCTTTACTTTGGCAAGAGCCTCAGGTTTGCCTGCATCTTCACGAGCCACCGCTCTTTTCAGCTCCACGTTTTTTCCATCTACAACATGTGGCCTAGCGGCCATTGCTGCGTCCGCTTCTTCCTCGCTTGAATATGTAACAAAGCCGAAACAACGAGACCGCTGAAGTTGGTCGTTTTGAACAACAACGCAGTCGGTTAACTTCCCGTACTGTTCAAAATGAGCACGAAGTCCTTCGTTTGTGGTTTGGACATTCAATCCACCAACAAAAAGTTTGCGAAGTTGGTCCATTGTTCTGAACGTGTATAACGTCTTCCTCAATGCTTCAGAAGTCTGCCCTTCGAAGAAAAGAAGAGTAGCGTCCTTTAAACTGTAGCCGTAATGACGTCAGAGACGTACGTACGTTCAGAAAAACACTCCTCCATCGGAAAAGTGGAGAGATGTGATTCGAGTAATAACGCATTTTGAACTGAAATTGGTTGCACAATTCTTAACCGTATGAAGAGACCACAGCGTATAAATGCTATATAGTCTCAGTTCGGGTTCTTTGTTATATATTAGATTTAAATACGTTTAGGCTTTCTGAGAAAAAAAAAATAGACCATAAGGAAAATTTATACACCTGTTTTTTATGCGTGAGATACATTTCAAATGAATTGTTAAATTCAAAAATATATTCCAAACACTAAAGTACACTTAATAAATAAATTAAAAAAATGAGTTTCTAGCATTTTGAAAAGCATTCATATGTATTTATTTTTTTAGATGTATTAGCATAGATTCAGTTCTTTTCTGTTGATTGAATTACAGACGGCAAGATGTTTTATTACCCCTGCAGATTGGTACCAAGTGCTGCAGTGGCAACATTTGTTTGGCACTTCCTTATGCAGGCAGATTACGACTTTGGTTCCTAAAGCTGTTTCTTTGCTCTAAAACCAGCTTACTGACAATTTTATGTTAACTTACCTATCTGATTACACATCCCAGTTCACTAAAATTCATTCTGAAGACCACTTTTTTCATTGCTATGCAGTCTAGTATTGTGAAAATGCATTGCAATATCTTTGAGATAAAACAGACACAAAGTGTTATTGATGTGAAGAATATGCAGTACCCCATTAGTAGTTTTTGTTTTGTTTGATTAGTTAGTTAGTTAATTTGTTTTTTGGAGGACATTACCATAACACAGCTAACATATGTAGGTTGTGGAAGAATAATGTGAGAAAATGAAAAACCACCTAAGCTAAATTCAGTCTCATAATGTCACATAATATTTATTTAATTTTGTTAAGTGTTTAAAATGTTAAAATGAACATTTATAGAAGTTTAACAAAAAATATGCTTATCCAGTAATAAAAAGTATGTTTTAAACAGCCTCTACTGAATTGTTGAAGAAAAGACAACTCTGTCCTGTCTTTGTGGCTATGGCTTTCATATGATTAGATGGAGCTGTGGCCATCTGAAGGTCAAGACAAAATAATGGTCATAGAAAAATTTGGGCACCAGACAAATGGTCAGAGAAAAATTTGGGCACCAGCAATGCTGCTGTCTAATCCACATGTGTATTTTGTTCCATTCTGGAGGCAGCTGCCTAAATAGTCACTGCTTTCAAAGGCAGCTGTTTTTTTAGGCAGCATTTTAACCGAAAAGGAATCCTAGCAGGCATTGCACTGGGGACATTTCCATCATACGTCATAAGTTTCACGTCTATACACGTCTTGTTTGTTTACTTGCAGTTGCCCGCTGTAGGAGTTGGATCTTTGCATGCTGGGTGGAAGTGGCTGCTCTTGTGACAGCAGGAAACAGCCACTTCACTGCCACTTAACCCCCACTTTTATTAGCGACCGCCACTGCACAGCCACTGTGCCGCCAGTTCACTGTCACTTCACCGCCACTTTCATTTCTGACCGCCACTGTGCAGCCACTTCACCGTCACTTTTATTAGTGATCGTCACTGCGCAGCCACTTCACTGTCACCTCACCATCACTTTTATTAGCTACTGCCACAGCGCAGCCACTTCAACGTCACCTCACTGTCATTTTTATTAGCTACTGCCACAGCGCAGCTGTTATTAGCGACCGTCACCGCACAGCCACTTCGTCACCTCACTGTCTCTTTTATTAGCGACCACCACTGCACTGCCACTCCACCATCACCTTTATACGCAACCTTCACTGCACAGCCACTTCACTGTCACTTTTATTAGCTACCGTCACTGCGCTGCCACTTCACCATCACTTTTTTTAGTGACCATCACGGCACAGCCACATCACCGTCACTTTTATTAGCAATCGCCACTGCGCAGCCACTTCACTGTCATTTTTATTAGCTACCGCCACTGCGCTGCCACTTCACCGTCACTTTTATTAGCGACCGCCACCACGCCGCCACTTCCTCATTTTTCTTATCAACCGCCACTGTGCAGGCATTTCGTCATTTTTATTAGCGATCGCCGTTGCACTGCCACTGCGCCACCACTGCGCCGCCACTTCACCGTCACTTTTCTTATCGACCGCCACTGCGCCTCCACTTCAGTCACTTTTCTTATCGACTGCCACTGCGCCGCCACTTCACCGTCACTTTTCTTATTGACTGCCACAGCGCAGCCACTTCACTGCCACTTTTATTAGTGACCTTCACTGCACCGGCACTTCACTGTCACTGCCCCATCACTTCACTGTCACTTTTATTAGCGACCGACACTGCACCTTCACTGTGCCGGCAGTGTTATTAGCGGCCGGTTCTGCACCTGAAACATTTATTAGCCACTTCATCTGGGGCATATTTCGTGGTAGCTGTCACACCATCTGCACAGGTTCGGTGAGAAGTCACACGAGCCACGACTATCCAAAGGGATTTGCCATGGGCTGTAGGTTTGTGGCGCTTAGTGTTTGGCGATTTTAGGAGATAAGGAATTACTGGAAACCACTACATTCCTTAATAAGTTGCATCGTACATTGCAGGCTATTTAACTTAACTTGTAACTTTTTTACGAAGTAATTAGGAAAAAAATGTCTAAGTGAAGTCACAGATGAATTTATCTAGCCTCACTAAAATGCTGTGTAGTTATGTTAACCATGTTATTTTGGTTTTGTACAGAGAATATTTTGTAATGTGGCAATATAAATCTACGTCATCCTGTGATGGTTGTTCAGTTGATTGGAGGATACCTAATTTTTTTTTTTCCCTTTTTCATTGTTTCATTTTCAGTTTGGTGTTGGGGTACCAAAGTCAGAAGCCCCATTCTCATAAGGCTGAGAAGTGAGAGATTTAAAAACATGAAAAAATACACCATACCTGTAAAAAGACATTGTAAAGAAATGTTGAATTTGAGTTAGTTCTGAAAAAAAAGTTAAAAAAGTAAAAAAAAATACTAATAGATAGAATAAACGATATAATTCAAGTGTTCTTTATTTGGAGAGAAACTACACCCCACATTTCAGTTAACTCCACCTCCGGCTCAATCAAAAATGGGAGGGGCATTCTGGGATGGGCACACTGAGAGGGGCACTGCATTGAACTATGGGTTTGGAGGTGGGGCTACAAGGGAAACCGGGTGAGTGTCAAACCATCCTACTATAGCGCAAATTTATAGGTAATATCTTACTTAAAACTAAGTAAGACGTTTCAATAGCTTAAATCACTGTGTCCGAAAATGCTACCAACATTACAACTACAGCTATAATAGTTTGATAGCCTAAACCCTCTTTTCAGAAAATGTTACCAACATTAAAATAATAATTAGGATATTTTGATAGCCTACATCAGCCTATAATGGAATTATAGCAATATTAAGATTAGTCTCCCATATGGAGAAATTATATTTATTTTAAATGTATTTCTCAAATATATTTTTGCAATATGTGAAAATGGCCAAAATATATTTCTTAAATATATATTTCAAATGCATTTATTTGTATTTGTTATTATATTTTTCAATTGTATGTAATTTCAATAAAGGTTGAAGATGTGACTAAATATACATGAACTGAATGAAAGTTACTGACTTCTTGCATTGTACTTTGCATTATGATGCAGTAAGACATTGTATGTCAAACAGACAAGATATCAAATCAAACTACATTTTCACAGTATATCAATACCTACAACACTTGTTTATGTCATGTTAAAGGTCCATTTAATAACATTTACAATTAAGATACTGGAGTACAAATTCCAAAATTTCAAAAAATACAAAAAATTTCAAAAGGTTTCCAAACAGTAAAGTGCATTAGACAAAGTATTTTGGCAGTTTTCATACATTTTCAAATGTACTTTAGAAATAAATTAACATACATGTATTTTTCTATAGTACATTTCTATGTGTAATATTTCCCCATACATTTTAGTACAAATGCATTTTAAAATATATTTACTAATATTATCAGTATGGCAATATATTTTGAAATGCTTTTTTGTGTTTGGAATGTAATTTGGCATGGATTGCAATGTATTTGAAATGTATTAAGTTATGTCCACATATTTTTCCATATGGGCTGTTTGATAGACTTATAGTAAGCCTGAATCAACATGAAAAACACAAGTTACTATGTGGTAGTAATGATATGTGCATGCTCAGACCGCTGGATGGAGAACAAATTGTTAGAACACAGGCTGCATAAAAGTGACGGAGCAGTGGCGGTGAAGTGGGCAGTCACTGATAAAAGTGATGGTGGAGTGGCGGTGGAGTGGCGGTGAAGTGACGAAGCAGTGGTGGTGAAGTGGCTGTGGAGTGGCAGGCTCTAATATTATTGAATGTATTGTGAATGAAGAACAGTTTGCTTTAAGGATTAGAATATGTCGTTACATACTTGACTTGGTGCCCCACACCGTAAAACATTTTGTAAAATTACAGTAATTAACTGGCAGCAATTTCACCAGTATTGTGCTGTTTTTTTTTACAGTACAGATACTGTAATTACAATTACAGCACATTACTGTAATCCAAATATACACATTACTGCATTTTTTACATTTACAGCAGTTAACTGTTAATTGCTTTTACAGCAAAACATTGTTTATATACACTGTTACAAAATACAGCGTACTGTAATAATTCCATAGTATACTATACAGTATTTAACTGTTGATTTGTATTCCAAAATAGTAATGAAACCAAACAAACCCAGACTCCAATTAAATATTTATTGTCTTTAAAGGAAAACTTAAATGGTCTTCTACAGAAAATCAGACACCAAGAATTCTTAATCAAATGATGAAATAAGAGTTCTTTAACACACATGGTGTACCATAAAGGCAAAAAGAAAACCTTCACAAGAATTCAGCTTCTAAATAAAGGTTTTTCACTATGCAAAGTGTACTATGAAGGCACAAAAAACGTCCAACGGATAGAACAAAAGTGCTGTTCACAGTGAAGGTTTATCAAACAGACTGCATCATAGTCCTCTGCACTGCAATTTTGTGTGCATCTAAAAATATAGCCAGGCTCAATCATCAGAACTAGCATATATAGCAGACTGTAAGTCTATAAGCTTCCTTATCAAGGTGCACACATGATGATTAAGGGGCACGTGTTTCTTCCCAGTTCGCTTGCTGGTGACTTTACCTTGGTGAGCTTTGGATCCACACTCTGGGTTTATTCCAGTTATCCACATGGGTATTTAAGGCAAACATGAAATGAAAATCAGAGCCTATGTTACTTCCTTAATGTGATATATTACCGAGTCAAACAGGTGGGTGGCACATGCTTTTGGATTCGATGGTGAAATTCCAGCATTTCAAGACAAGGTTGGCAATTGGAGCAGGAAAATATGATATTGTTTAATATTATTTTTCCCGCCCTCCTGCACATATTGGCCTCAGACACCTATGGAGTTATTTTTGTGCCAAAAGTTTCAAACAAAATAATAAAATCCACAAGCAAAATATTAGGTAGCAAAATGTCCTATATGTGTTGCAAGTGTTGCAAAAAAACCCCAAAAAGATCCCTACTTATTTTCACTCATTTCGCCACTTTTTTTTTTGCTGATTTTGCTGATATGTTTTTGCTTTTGAAATCTTTCTGTTGCTTTTGAATTTTGGCACATTTTCAAAAAAGTCTTGAAAGAGGGTGTTCACCTGTACTCTCTACTGGTCAACAGATTTGAAGAGATAGATCTTCTGTAGCCTCTTGGTGTGAACCGCCCTAACTTGGCAGAACACATTGCGCTTAGTGCTGCCTTGGGTGCAGTGTTGTACTGGCATATCTGACATGATTAGCAATGTGTCATATTCCTTTTACATTATTAATGTAACACATGTTTAGGTTCCTGTGTCAAATGATATAACTTATTTTCGGCACTGAAGAACACAAAAATCCTCATTGAACAAAGCTGTACAACCTTTTGAGTTTACAGATGCTGGCAATAACCAACATAGCAGTGTGGTTTCGAGCTAACTTGGCTAGCCATACTGGTAATGTAACTACACTGCTTAAATATATCTAATGTTAGTTTACTGTATTAATACGAAAACTGATTTGGAACAGCAGCATTCCGTAAACTGGTGTGCTGAAATAGAAAGCCGCTTTCAGTGACTGATATGGAAGGATTCTGTGGTTAGAAACAAGAACAGGCTTACAAAACAACCTTTATAACCCACAAAATGTAAAGGCCAACCATGACATCAACTCATGGCAGGAGTAACTTGTAGCTGGCAGTAATCAGTGGTATTTTTCACTCTTTACTGTGTTTATGCCAGTGCTACTTTATTTCCCACAGCCCCCAGCAGGTTCACCAACTTTTTGCTGAAAACACCTGACACAACTCATGAAGGTACTGATAATCAACTGATGAGCTGGATCTGGTGTTTTAAGTAAAGGAACAGCAGAAACTGTGCAGAACTGTAGGTCATCAGGAGCAGGGTTAAGAAACATTGATTTAAACAGCTGCAAAGCTCACCTAGTTAGCCCTTTAGAGGACACTTTTAGGCTAATTAGTGCTAGCGTCTGCAAACCTGAAAGGTAGCATAGCTTCATTCAACAGCTAAGTTCACCTAAAATACTTAAATTTCCAAAATATAGTTTTCTATACAGGATGACACAGGTCTATGGCAGCATTTTCCAGACTTTTTTTCAAATCCAAATTTGAACATGGTAATTAAATGATGTATTTACAGCTGTGTGATGTACTTCAAATTTAAATCAAAACATATATTTGCATTTGCATTTCTGAGTATGATGGCTAGAAAAAATATTAAGAAAAAGCACGTTTTTTTGACATTTAATTTTTATTGTCATCATGATATAACTCTGACATATTAAAAACAGCATATCAATTGCCTATTTGCAATTGCATTTCCGCATTGTCATTTTGGCAGGGCTGGAGTGCGACAATGAGGAAATGCAACTGCAAATGGATGACAATTATTCTGTTTGTAGTATGTTAGGGTTACACCATTAAGAAAATGAACATGAAATGTCAGAAAGACTTTACTTTTCCATGTTAACTTTTTCCAGCTATTACACCCAGGAGTTCAAATGCAAGTACACATTTTGCATTTGAATTATCTTTTTAATAATGCACACTCATATGGGAAACGCAACTGTAAGTTCTCACTGAATTAATACTTTCAAATCTGCATTTGAATTTGAAAAAAAGGCTGGTTTGGGTAATCCTCATCATCATCTCGTGACTCCTTTTGGTGTGTGCCTTGAGCTGCTGGAACTTTTTTAGGAGCCATCTTGTTCTCCTGTAGTTGTTTTTGTTGAGATAGTTGTAGCTTGTGGACACTGTGCCCACCTGCTGTGGTCACTGTCACCTTGAGTTATTGTCTTTGCTACCCCTTGTGGTCGATGTCCTCAGCTGTTACCACTGCCACCATTTGTGATGTGTGGTGTGAAGTGTGGTGGCCACTATAGATGGTGCTGTGGTGGGTGAGTGGCCCGGAGGCTCCTAATTCACCACACTTGGACATCAGGTCTCTATTTCCTAGTGTTCTGAAGTTTATTGCAACTACGCACACAAAAATATTTACACTAGTGAATTTAACAAGTGCAATTCTGCTGAAATAGCTCTGAGGCTGGGAGGCCACAGAGATCTTCCCAAATCACAAAGGAATTAACTCCTGCATTGTCCCATTTCCCTCTTAAATTGGTAGCCCCTCCCACATTGGATATGGGTCATATCACTGCTCCGATCCAGGGGTGACAAGAAAACAAACAATATGCATATATATTACATACATACACACTGTGGCCATTTCTCATCATGTATACATGTATACATTTAACATATAAATAGTACTATTAAGCTAGCATTATTTAATATTGTGTTCTCTCTTTTACAGGTACCTGCAACCTGGATCGTACCTCACTTGAATCGCCCTGGACCGAAGGTATGTAGAAGTTTAGATTTATTTCCTTTGAATGTTTGCCATAATAAGAGTCTTTTTTGGTCTTTTTTCCCTAAAGCAGCAGGATTACACCTGAATCTCAAAATATGTGAATTATTGCCAATCAAGGATTGCACTTTAACAACAGCATATGGTATCCCAATTAAAGGTGCAGTCAAATATTTGAAATTACTCATAATTAGGACAACATTGTTAAATTAAATATTTGGAATAGAATTAAAGACTGTAAAGTAAAATTAAATGTGTAGTTACAAAAAGACATGTCTATTCTTAATCAAATCTATTTAACCCAAATGGAAAGCTTAGCTGTATTAGATGTATCTACACTGCTTATTCATTAGCCTTTCTGAAAAAGGCTTCTAAAGCTATTAATCAATTGATTTTAACTTTATTTGCAGGAATAAATCACATACCATTAGGAAAGCATTACTCTTTAAGGATTATAAAGAGAAGGACTCAATTTTGACTGTATTAATGGTTCTTTAAAGATATACTGGCTTAAAATGCTTTTACTGTGTGCCTCAATCTGTTTTCAGGAGAATTGGTGGAGTTCAATTTCTACTACAGAGTGATTTTTCTCTTTTCACAAGCAAGTGTTAATGTACTGGAAAATGTTGTATAAACATAATTTTATTCCATGTTATACCAACATGGAATAATAGGTGTGTCTTTTATAGACAGAAATAATTTTTTTAAGGAATGGGTGGAGGGCGGCACGGTGGAGCAGTGGGTAGCGCTGTCGCCTCACAGCAAGAAGGGCCTGGGTTCGATTCCCGGCCGGGCGACCAGGGTCGTCTCTGTGTGGAGTTTGCATGTTCTCCCCGTGTCTGCGTGGGTTTCCTCCGGGTACTCCGGTTTCCTCCCACAGTCCAAAAACATGCAGTCAGGCCAATTGGACATGCTAAATTGCCCCTAGGTGTGAGTGTGTGTGTGGATGTATATGTCTGTTTGTCTGCCCTGCGATGGGCTGGCGACCTGTCCAGGGTGTATCCTGCCTTCCGCCCGATGACAGCTGGGATAGGCTCCAGCACCCCACCGCGACCCGGAAGGATAAGCGGCTTAGATGATGGATGGATGGATGGATGGAATGGGTGGATAAAGAGATCTGGTCTGCAGCTCACTTATTAGATAAAGGGGGTAACATGCTAGATTATAAGAATTTTTGTGAAAAGTATGGTTTTATTTGTTCTCGAAAGCAATTTAACTTGATTATAAAAGCAATCCTTTTATCCTTACCTGAGTTGGTGTGCAATGTAAATAAATATTTATCTGTATCTGTTTCTTTACCACCACTTGTAAGTGGTTACAATTTTTTGGATTATAATCTCCCTAATAAACTAATAAAAGCTGGTTTTTGCTCTTAATTATATCAACTACAAACTTCCAGTAACATTTTGTTACGATCCTATCCTAAAAAATCAGTTTCTAAATTACTTTCATGTCATTTCACATTCCTTGTGGCCTCCAAAGCTAAAGAAGTTCACTATAAGGTGATCAGTAACGTCTCCCCCTCAAGTGAGTTTTTGAGACTTAGGTTTGGTTTTGAACAGAGCACTTGTGTTTTTGTAAGAATGACATTAAGACTACAGACCCCCTTTTTTACTTATGCACTCACTCAGGATTATTTTGGAATGACTTGTATTGCTGGTTGAAGGTTAAGATCCCAGTACTGAACACCTTTTCAATAAATGTTGTAATGCTTGGGATGATAATGGAAGATACTAGGATGGATCTGTTTATTAGTGTTATCATCATTTTAGGAAAATATTATATTCAGAAATGCAATATGCAATGTAATAAAATGTTAATAAAAACAAAATTCAATGATGTGCAAATCATTTAAACCCTATATTTCATTGAAAATAGTACAAAGAAAACAAATCAAATGTTGAAACTGAGAAATGTTATTGTTTTTTTGAAAAATATATACCCATTTTGAATTTGATGCCAACAACGCCACTGTGTTTACCACTGTGTTTACCACTGTGTTTCATCACCTCTTCTTTTAACAAACTCTGTAAGCATTTGGGAACTGAGGAGACCAATTGCTGTAGTTTTGAAAGTGAAATGTTTTCCCATTTTTGTTTAACATAGAATTTTAGCAGCTCAACAGTTTGGGGTCTCCTTTGTCGTATTTTTCATTTTATAATGTGCCAAATGTTATCAGTGGATGACAGGTCTGGATTGCAGGCAGGTTAGTTTAACACTCGGCCTCTTTTAATACAGAGCCATGCTGTTGTACTACATGCAGAATGTGGTCTGACATTGTCTTGCTGAAATAATCAAGGACTTCTCTGAAAAATACATCATCTGGATGGCAGCATATGTTGCCAAAACATGTATATATCGTTCAGCATTAATGGTGCCTTCACAGATGTGCACCTCATCCATGCCATGTGCACTAATGCACCCCTATTCTACCATGAACACTGGCATTTGAACTGTGCACTGATAACAAGCTGAGTGGTCTTCAGCCCAGTGTCCATGATTTTCAAAAATAATGTTGATTTGTCGGATCACAGAACACTGCTCATAGAGTTTCTGACTGTCACTGGAAGATGGCTCCCGTCAGTCTGAGAGGAGATGGCGACCCCTGAGCAGAAAGCGTTTTGCATTCTCCACTTCAGTAAGAATGAATCTGTCATAACTGTGCAATGTGATTTTCGGCAACAGTGAATCTACGACAGCACAGAGTTGTTGGTTTCGCAATACTGGATGATCTCCGAAATCGCATTGAAAGAGCTGTGAGTTCAGTGACACCCGACATGCTCAATCAAGTATGGGATGAATTTGACTATCGCGTTGATGTTGTCCATACAGCTGGAGGAGGTCATATTGAGCACTTGTAAAATTACATAATAAACTTTATGCTCACTTAAACCATTTACAATTTACTGCATTGTTCCGTAATGATTTACAAGTGAAACAAATCCTTTTGAAATCGGATATATATATGGCATGCCGTTTAGGAAATTATTTATATATATATATATATATATATATATATATATATATATATATATATATATAAAATGAATGAAAAATCTGAATATATGGAATGAAACTTGTGAATATGGAATAAAATATGACGTCATCGAAGCACTTGCGCCATGTTGTTTTTTCAATGTGTGACATTATTTCATACGGTTGTAGGCAGTGCGTCAGCATGAAATCTAGTAGCAGTAATCTTAAATAGTGAGGCAATAATTAACACGGGCGAACGGATGTACGAGCCGAAGTAATACTAGAAAGAAACATGCCATTCACCTCACAGGAGCAGCCCACAAGCAGCCTAGAGTGCAGAAATGAGTAAAGAGCGGTTGTAGGGATGGAGTATAGTATTGGGGTTCACTGTATTCTTCCACAGTGAAGCGGAGAATAAAGTTCATTAGTAAAACAGCATTAAATATGGTTACTGGTATTATTTTGGCCCGTACATCCGTTCGCCAGGGTGTTAATTATCCTCTCACTATTCAGGATTACCACCACTAGATTTCGTGCTGACTCAGTCATAGCGACGCGCTGCCGGCATCCGTACGGAATCTCGCACATCCAAAGCACAAGACGGCGCCAGTGCCTTGATGACGTCAGATTTTATTCCATATTCTCAAGGTTCATTCCATATATTCAGTTTCGTTCCATATTCTCAAGTTCCATTCCATATTCCATATATATATATATATATATATATATATATATATATATATATATATATATATATATATATATTTATATACACACATATATATATATACACACATATATATATATGTATATGTATATGTATATATATATATATATATCAGTCTTTGTTCCACTGAGATGTATTGAATGAATGTTGATATATATACAATGAACTTTCATATATATAGAATGAACATTGATACATATTGAACGGAGATTGATATATATTGAATGAACATTGATGTATATGGATTGAGCATTAAGATAAAAAAAATACTATAGTTGATAAAATGCTCTGTTCAGACAGAGAGGGACTTTTGAGATTGTATGTGCTGTAGCCTTGGCCCTGTCCCTCCTGCTTTTGTTATTTAATGTTATGTTGTTGCTCTTTGGTTACAGTGTGTGTATGTGTTTATTGTGTTATTTTGTGTCCAGCTCAGGGTTAGTTAGAGTGCATTTGTGTTTGGTAACCATCAGAAGAAAGAGTAGGACTAAGAGTGACCTACCTCAATTTTCAGTTGATTTTCAAGTGACATTGTTTTCCCTTGCTCTCAATAAAGATCATTTTCAAACAGAAATGATGGCCTCATCTATATATCTATATATCTGTATGTTTTACTTTGTGCTGCTAAGTGCCTCTGCTCTTTGTCACCGTGTGTTATGTGCCTTTTTGTTGATTCTTATGCTTATTAAAAGAGAATGTAAAAAAATGTACTGCAGCCAGTCATCAGAGGACGTCAGACGTTTTGGCTTCACTTTTCACCCCCTGTCGTCCAGGCCACTGAGTGCATAATAGCACGGTAGGTGGCAGTGTGCACATCTAGTCTGTGATTCGCCATAACCCACAGCAGACGAAGAACAAGAATTCAAACTGATTGGGCTCTATGCATGCAGCTCGTAGTCTGTGGATAAAGGTAGAAAATAAACTATTCGTTTTACCTCACAAATGCATGTTACAGTTTGACGCCAACTGATAAAATATAATTTTTTGAAAGAGCGTGTTTGTTATTGTTTTCTCACGTTCGGTAACGGTAAACGTTAGGAAAAGGTGATGGATTTCAAAAATGAGCTGGCAACGGCTGCTAGTTAGCTAGGTTAGCTAGCTGCCTAACTTAGCTTTGTAAACATTGCCTGTTGAGATGACTGAAAATGTTTTCAGTGTTTTTTAGTGTAGGATTTAACCTGTTGTCGCAGATTATCCCCAGTGCTGTATTAACTGGTCTATGCGGGCTAAATTAACTGTAATCTGTCAGTTTGGGCGTTTTGCGAAAGTAAAGTTGTTTTGCCACAGTTACAGTTCTTTCACTTCAGCTGAAAAAATGTGTCTCACTTCATCTTTGCCAAGATTTGAATTCGATGATGTATTCAGAATGGTTGGAGAACACACAACAATAGCCACGTTTACATACATCCTAGTAATCCGTTAATAATCTGACTAATAACTCAATCGGAATACAATACCTCCATGTACACACTTCAATCGAAATAGACTAGTCCGATCAAGGCCATTAGGATTACAGTTTCTAATCGAATGAACGAGGTGGATAATCCTGTAACGTTAAATAATCTGTTAAATAGAAGAATAACCATGTAAACGCCTGTATCTGATTACGTCAGAGTCTGTTTATGTGGAGCCTGGCCACTTCCTATTTCCCCCGTTATATCAAAAGCAGGACTGCAAAACGCCAGAGGGCGCCCGCAAGTGAGTCCTCAATGAATGGGAGTAAATGGAGCTCAACGGCTAAAAATGAGAAGTTAGAATAGTTTCTAATCACTTGCCCAGAACTTTCTTTCAATTTTAGAAAGTCGAAGGGTGTATTTTTTTTGACTAAAAAAGCAGAAAAAAATTAACCTATATCTTTCCATTTTTCTACAGCAAACGGGGTTTGGGCTGTAGGACATTGGAGTGCTGATTGGTTAGTGAGAGGAGCAGCTCTGTGGCTGTTCACACTCATAGACGTCATGAACGTACATGAGGGGGCAGTCGTGGGCTGGAGGTTAGGGAACCAGTCAGTCATGGACTGTCAGCCGAGCAGATCGAACCGGAAGGTTGCCGGTTCGATCTGCTCGGCTGACAGTCCATGACTGAAGTGCCCTTGAGCAAGGCACCCAACCCCCATTTGCTCCCCGGGTGCTGTGGATAGGGCTGCCCACCGCTCCGGGCAAGTGTGCTCACTGCCCCTAGTGTGTGTGTTCACTAGTGTGCATGTATGTGGGTGTTTCACTGCACAGATGGGTTAAATGTGGAGGTCTAATTCCACAGTGTGCAAACACAGTTGGCTGATGGTCTGAATTCATGAATTCTGAATTCGAGAGGTGCCGTTTTAAACTATAAGTCGAGTTTAAAAGCTCTTAAAATATAACAGCAGAAATAAAGTGTATTATGCTGTACAGTGTTCAGGAAATGACTGTGTTCTTTTTCACTCATTCATTTTGGACTTGCTCAGGAGCTCCTTCTAGTGTTTGAGAAACCCAGAAGACGTTACAGAGTGGTAATGTTCCTCTCTACAAGTTCTCTGATTACATTCCCAATAGGAAAGTTTAAGTATGTTCTGCGCATGTGCGTTTATGTCATAGTTAAATTTTTTAACGTGGGTGTGAGCAGAAATTGGTCTGCAGAGGAAACAAAGTTCATGCTTTGAACTTTAAAAAAGGGTGGTGGGACTGGCGTCCAGCTTACATGTCTCCAAGCATGCCGACTTCTTACCCCTTCTTTAAGACGTACATGTGAAGTACATTTTCCTGAGTCCACCATAATATTAAATTAATTAAAAACACAAGCACTGCTTACTGCTGGTATCGTCTACACTAAGTGGTACTTTACGCTTGGGGGTATATGTGGATTGGATTACTTGTAGTGTTGTTGAGTAGAGTGAGCATATAAACACCTCAGAGCATAAATGCTTCATGAAAAAATTCCTTCACAGTTATCACAGACATGCTAGCAGAACGGGATGTCGAACGAACATCTACTCCCCTCTGAGGAGACACTTTCTCAGATGAAAACTTTCTCTGAAAGCGGCTGTAGCAGCAACTTTAAAGCACAAACTGCACGTTAACGCTAGCAGCGGTGAAATGCTGACACAGAGGTTCTTTTTCTCTGTATGAAAAGTTTATTCCTTTATTAATTGCACTTCGTTAATTACAATTTTTTCTCTGCTCATTGTCAGCTGACAAACCACTGAAACTGAGATAATGTTGTTTTTGCTTCAAACTTGAACACTTGAGTAAGCTGTAAACGCTCTACTCAGCATCATTGTTGCTTTAGCGGAAGCAGCATTACCCTGCAACGACTACTTCCAGCAGAAAAAATGCGGAAATGTGAAAAGGGCCTATTGCCAACAATATTTGGAGACCTAGATAAATTATTCGGGGTAATCAGAAAGACATTGTCCTTCCTAAATGTGTGTATGTAATACCTATACCATAATTTGTTAGAAATGCTATAATTTATATTTATAATATAATATAATTTATATTATAATTTTATATTTTTATATTTAAAAAAATTTCCACTGTTTTTCATGTAAAACTCATAATGAGTTTTTACCTTTGAACATGTTCTCGTGTTTTCCATAATCCCCCGAAACATAATTAATAAACTGTATTTGTTTGTTCTTGACTGTAGTCTTTGCTATCCATATGGCAACATTTAAATATATGCATTAATTTCTCTCAAACATCTCATTCAAAAGATGTCAGCTACAGATGGTGAGATTCAGACATTAAGGCAGAAGGTGGAAGCGACAGAAGCAGCTCTTCAAAAAGCAGCGCAGTATGGACTGCAGCTCTTGGACGACAAAATGGATCTGCAGAATAAGTTGGAAGAGCAGCGAATTGAAATGACTGCAGTGATAGAGGTAAGCTTTAAACCAGACAACATTTGAGATTCACAAACCTCACACATTTATATTATGGATAATGGATGCATTGATCAATGAACTGTGAAGCACATTTATTACTGAAATATTTTGATATTTTGGGACAGACTCCTTCAGAGGTTTTAGACCTGAATAACTTACTGTCTTGAAGTTAAATAGGCCACAGCATGTACTACACATCTCCAGAAAAAATATGTTGCTCAAAAATTACAGTTGTAATTCACAAACATACAAACAAATACACTTAGCTGTTACTAATTTTCCTGGTTTTATTTGTGTGTACTATAGGCCTGGAGCAATGAATTAATAAATTCCATAATGTTGATTAAAAAATTGTTAACAACAAGTCTTGTAATCGATTAGGTGGCTTGACAGCGCATCTGCTTTTTATCTAACGTTACATCACTTCATTACAGTTTTTATGATTGCTTTCATGCTAAATTTGGAACACACAATTAGTGAAACCTGACACTGAAGAAGCATAACCTGTGAAGTGTCAATTATTTATCGCAGTGTTACTGAGCTCTGCTACAGCCTGTTTAGACTAATAAATCATTGTGATGATTAGTTTTTAATCACAGTGTTACTGAGCTCTGCTACAGCCTGAGTAGACTAATAAATCATTGTGATGATCATTTATTAATCTTAGTGTTACTGAGCTCTTTTGAGGTACGATCAAACTAATAATCTCAGTAGTGCTTGCAGGTGATAAGTTTAGCATCGATGTTGTACTGGACTCCTGCTCAGGGGAAGAGAAGAATTTCTGATCTTCATTTAAACAATAAGTGAATTTTCCACAAAGATTACAGGAAAAAAAGTGATGGCAGGGAACAGTGTAAATTAAGCAAAAAATTGGCTAAATGTATTCTGAAGATGTTGTATTCTGAATAAATTGTAATTGAATGCATTGCTGAATACATTTATGATAGTGTATTCTGTTTCCAGCCAACTACTTTTGACTTGGTCAAGTATTTTGTCCAACACTGTCAGTGTGCAGTACTGGTCTTGTATGTTGTTTGATTACTTATATATTTTACTCTAACATTATCTCTGAATAAAAAAAACAAGATTGTATCATTAGAAAAGCAGAAATGTTTAAGGTGTTTTAGATTGAGCACAGCAGTGTGTAACTGGTTCAAACAGATTTAGATCATAAAAACTCTGTGTGCGCCACACAGTGACAAAATTGAGTTTGCATAAATTGCTGTACAGTTTTGAATGAAGTGTTTCATTTTGCAAACGATCTGAGGTGTTCTGTTGCTAGTGGCTATATGAACTGTGTGTAGTGTTTGGGCAAAATGAGCCCTGTAAAATTGTGCTTAAGCAATAGTGAAAAACTGTAAAAGATATACAGATTGCTCAGACTGCAGTGCAGAGGTAAGGGTCGCGCGTGGTTAGAAAAGTCCAAAAAATGGAAATATGAGGCTTTCATTGCCATCTCTGGTGATTTTAACCACATTTCACTGGACTCAATGCTCACTGCTTTTTACCAGTATGTAGACTGCCCCACTAGGAAGAACAATTGATCTCCTTTATGCCAATGTGAAGGATGCATACACCGCCACACCCCTGCCCCCTCTGGGAAAATCTGACCACAAACTGGTCTACCTGCAGCCTCAGTACAAACCCTGTGTTCGAAGACAAGCTGTAACCACACGCTCCTTCAGAAAATGGTCTCCTGAAGCCGAAGCGGATCTCAGGGATTGTTTCGAGTCCACTGAATGGAGTGTACTGCAGGAGCCATATGGGGAGGACATTGAGGGGATTACACACTGCATGACGGACTACATGAACTTTAGCATGGACATTGTTGTTCCTGTGAAAACTGTGCACTGCTTTGCTAATACCAAGCCCTGGATAACCAGCAATGTCAAAGGCCTGCTGGACAAGAAGAAGAGAGCCTTTAAAGACAATAACCAGGAAGAGCTTAGGAACGTACAGAGGGAGCTCAGTCCAATTGCGAGAGGCCAAGGAGTCCTACAGGATGAAGGTGGAGCAGAAGTTAAGGGAGAATAACATGAGGGAGGTATGGAATGGTATGAAGACCATTACAGGCTGTAAGCAGGGGATGGACAGTGCGTTAGATGGTGACGCAGAGAGAGCCAATGAGTTCAATATCTTCTATAACCGGTTTGAGTGCCCTGTTCAGATCTCCACAGCATCTGTATGTATAGCGGTCACCTCCACCTCCTGGCACTTCAGTCTCTGCCTGCCTGGACATCAACACCTCATCTTCTTCTATTGATATTCATGCACCCCTCCCACAGGCTGACAGCACAGACATCACAGCCCCCTCTCAGCACTCTTTACACATTAACACATCAGATCTGATCTGCAGCACCGCTGCAGCCCTCCCTTCTCCCCCTCTGCACATCTTCACTGCAGATCAGGTTAGAGGTGAGCTGAGGAAACTCCACACAGGGAAGGCAGCTGGACTGGACAAAGTGTGTCCTAGACTGTTAAAGTCCTGTGCTGCTGAGCTGGGGGCACCCCTACAGCACATCTTCAACCTGAGTCTCCCACACTGTGGAAGACATCATGCCTCATTCCGGTACCGAAGAGGGGGCGACCCAGTGACTTCAGGCCGGTCGCTCTAACATCACATGTCATGAAAACCCTGGAGTGCCTGCTTCTACACCTTCTCAGACCCTAGGTTGACATGAAATGGACCCCCTGCAGTTCGCCTACAGGGAGAAAGTGGGAGTAGAGAATGCCATGCTATACTTTCTCCATTGGGCCCACTCTTATCTGGACAAGGGTGGTTGCGCTGTAATGTTCTTTGATTTTTCCAGTGTTTTTAATACCATTCAGCCCCTCCAACTGAGAGATAAGCTGGTAAGGATGCAAGTGGATCCGCACCTGGTCTCCTGGATTACTGACCACCTCACTGGCAGACCTCAGTATGTCAGGCTGAAGGACTGTACATTAGAGACTGTAGTCAGCAGCACAGGAGCACCACAAGGAACTGTACTTTCCCCCTTTCTCTTCACATTGTACATCTCAGACTTTCAGTACAACTCTGGGACGTGCCACATGCAGAAGTTTTCAGATGACACTGCCATTGTGGCTTGTGTAAGGGGAGGGCAGGAGGAGTACAAGACCCTGGTGGACTTTGTGGAGTGGTGCCATGGGAACAACCTGCTTCTATACACTGCCATGACAAAGGAGATGGTGGTGGACTTTCACAGGGTTAGGCCAGCCACACGGCCAATCTCTATTGAGGGGGTTGAAGTAGAGAGGGTAATGACCTACAGGTATCTCGGTCTGCAACTGGATGATAGGTTGGACTGGTCAGCCAACAAAGTCATCCTGTAGAGGAAGGGGCAAAGCCAGCTCTACTTCCTGAGGAGGCTGAGGTCCTTTAACATCTGTAGGAAGCTCCTGCAGATGTTCCATCAGACCACGGGTGCCAGCTGGCTTTTTTATGCTGTGGTGTGCTGGGGCGGAAGCATGAAAAAGAGAGACGAGATGCGACTGGACAAGCTGGTCAGGTGAGCGGGGTCAGTGGTCGGTGTGGAACTGGACTCTGTGGTCAAGGTGGCTGAGAGAAGGACTCTGCACAAACTGCTCTCCATTATGGAGGATGATGGCCTCCCGCTGCACACCATCATCATGGACAGGAGGAGCATATTTAGTGGCAGGTTGCTGTCACAGAGCTGCTCAACCGACAGATTAAGGAGATCCTTTGTCCCTAGAGCCATCAGGTTCTTCAGCTCTTCCCAGGGGGGCCATAAGAGAAGAGGGAGGAGGAGAGATGAGGACTGAATCTCAATCTCATGTTAAATCATAAATCATAGGTCTTATATCTTATGCTAAATCTTATGTTTCTTTTTATCCATCTGCACATATGGACACCTTACTGCACATATTGCACTTTCTGCACACCTTATTGCACATCTTGCACATCTGGACACTCCACACTAGACACTTCTGCACATATCTATTCAGTATTGTCATTATATGCCGTTACCTGTGCCTCCTTGTACAGTCATTATTGCACTGCGTCTTTCATCTCAGGTTATAGATATCATCCCAGATTGTTGTATTTTGCTATTTGTATATATGCCTGTAGGTAGAATTTTTTTTATATTTATTCTTTCTCTTATTCTGTTATATTGTTTACACCCTTATTACTATTACTGTCCTGTGTTGTGTGACTGCTACTGGCTGCTAAATTTAAAATTTAAAATTTTCCTTTGGGATCAATAAAGTATCTATCTATCTATCTATCTATCTATCTATCTATCTAAGGCGGCTGACAGCCACTGTAATAAAATATATGCAACAGATTTAAAAGTAAACACGGTACCTATTTCGCTCGAATCAGCTTGCCTGGCTAACGCTGCCTCAGGCTGGAGTTGAGCTGTGAGAGCAGATCTCAGCAGGTTTCGTGTTTGGCCGCTGATAATAACGAGAGTAATTAGATTTACTCTCGTTACTGTAATTGAATGCAGTTTTCCCTGTAACAGTACTTTTTGGAGTAGAATTAAATCATAGTATTTTTACTCTTACTTGAGTTAATTTTTTATGAAATACTTTTACTTCGCTGCTTTAATTTTCATAACGTTACAGAGTAAAAATAAATTATGGGCGTATCAGCTCAGAAACCAATACTAACAACGCACGGTTAAATTTAAAAGATACACCAATCAGAAAACGGCAGCCCCGGCAGAAAAAACACTACAGTGATGTCCAGTTTAGTGGAGAAAGAGAAGAACCAGCACACAGACCGCGTCCAAACGGTGTACCAATCTGTATTCAGTTTCACATGAACTGAAGGAGACAAAGTTATTATCAGCCATCAAACACGAAACCTGCTGAGATCCACTCTTACAGCTCACATTAGCCGAGCTAGCTGATCTGAGCTAAACAGGTAGCTACAATGTTCACGGTTTTCTTCTTTTATAATGCTTCTGTTCATTAGACTTGGAATCTGTTGCGGATATTTTATTACAAGTGCCATTCGGCTACTTTAGTTA